CACCATTGAGATACAATTGATTATAAACGTACGGAAATATGTTGAAAGAGAAAGGAAGCCAAGAACATTTAGAAGCGTTTAAAGACATGAGATTGGAAGAAGACCAGTGAGAAACAGAGTTTATACAATTTTGAACATAAGAAAAATTAGAAGAATCAGTACAGTAGAGGAAAGAGGAACAATCAAAAAAACATCATCAGCAAAGAGACAGATTTCACAATTATGTGGAAGTGAGCTTACACATCAAATCAGAGAGATACTCATAACATATTGTAGATGATCCACTAGCGAACACCGACCGAAGGAGGTGTGAGCGTTGTGTTCGATTCATAGTCATGGAAGGTCGTTCGCAAATATAAGTTCCTAAAGTCAAGGAATCGAGCGAGCGCAGACGAACGTTACCGTATAATAATAGTGTAGTACTTCGTTTTCATTGTTCAAATTCATTATGTAGAAATAACCATTCGAGCGAATCATTAAGAGAGGTCGTCCGGTTTCGTCTTTGTATAGTCGTAAGACATGCGAACCCAAGCGATAGTTTCAGATTGTATTTAGATAAGTCACTAAGTGGCCAATCCTCTAGAAACGGATGATTCATCGTCGAATTATTCATCTCACTGCAGTCTCAGAAACAGAACAGAATATTATTGGTGTTATATTAATCAGATTATATCATACCTAACGTAGCTCATATCTGATCGATGGATGCATGAGAGTTTCTGAGCGAAAAATCAGGTCCAGTGGCAGGTAATGAGAATGGCTCTGAATGGAACGCCGGTAAAATGTCGACAAACTGTTGAAAATCTACGTTTCTGACTACGATTCATACCGTAGTGGACCTTAAAAAAAGCAGAAGTTTACCAAGCTGAGAACTTAATTTTGTTACGATAATTGGATAATCTTGTTAATGATAAATTGTTTAGATGAGGATCATTTACATTGTAAAGCATTAAGCAAAGTAAGATGAACTGTGTGTTATCATCTCTGCTGGTATTTTCCACACTCATTGTAACTATAGCAGGTATGTACATTACTGTAACTTAGCAAGTTAGTCCATGGTCTATCATATTTTTCGTGCTCTTTGTTTCAGCTGTCACAATTAAGATACCACAAAATGATCACATCTATGAACGTACACGTCAAGATACATCATCAATATTTCCTGCATTTAAATATTATATCGTACCTCGAGAAGTACAATTTCATGTGAACCCTATCAAAGACGCTAACATCAAAATTCCGTTCTTTTTACAATGCCAAGGCAAAAAGAATATGCCTAATTTCACTATGCCACATGCTTCGAAATCGGTAACTTGTGGCTCATGTTTTTTCCTATCTTTAAGCTTTCACAGGCTAATATAAACACTTACAGCAAGAATTCTTATGATACTTGTATGAGAATATTTTATCAGTGACTTTTGAGGATAGATTACTAGATTTTGATTGTCTTATAGTTAAAATATTTCATACTTTAATCTCGAGAACGATTATGCTATATTTTGACTTTTTTTCCATTTAGCATCTCTCGATAGAAAATGTTGACTTAAAGACAATTACATTACAATTAAAAACTAGATTAACTACAGATCTTGTTGGTCGATATACATGTACAGAAAGAATTAATAATATCTTGGAAGAGAATGCAATATATGTTTTTATTTATGGTAATGTTCTGCAATCCGATATGTTTTACATACATTAACTCAATTTTTATCTAGATGGTAAATCGATATTTACCAAATCATCATATTCGAGTGTGATGAAACAAACGGGTGTGCATTTTTTTAATATACCATGTCAAACTACCAACTGGTTTACAAAAATGAATTGTCCCGTACCGAACAATGATCAATGTATACCTGTTTATTACACACCAGAATTTCAGGCTCAAGTGAGTATATCGATATCTAATTTGTTCCACTCTTTCTGTTATCGTCAAGAATTTTTTTGTTTACTACTAGGAAGTTCATTTTGATCCCCAGATTGGCTTTGCTCTTAAAAATCCGCAGTTTCCTGATTCTAATTCAAACCTTTTGTGTAAATCACACCTGGATAGAGATGTTGTAGCAGCCGTCCCTTACATAGCATCGATAGGTTTGATTTTAGTATCTTCTCTATACGTATGTATACGTATAATTTTTCTTATATATATGATATATAGCTGAATTTGTACATATTCGTCAACCAAGTCTAACAGTTTTATCTGATGAAAAAGTCGATTTGACATGTGAAATACGATACGGCGCAAAAATTAATCAAAGAGCACCTGTTGTTTTTTGGTTTAATGATATAGATAATGTGAGTAAAACATGATTTTACTATGTTACATGATTACTACGTTATTATTTGTTGTAGTTAATTGTACACAAGAACGACACACACAAACCCGTGTTCAATACATTGACTCAATTGTTTGAGCAAACTACTACAATAAGATTGAGTGGTTTTGTACCGAAACAATCATATGTATTATATTGTGCTCGACTTTCTGAACAAGGAATCTATTCACAGAGTGTTCAGATTGATTGTGAACTATGTAATTGTTAAACAGATTTGAATTAAGCTAAATTTACCATGTGATTTTTGTTCTAGCTCCCAATATTACTCTAGAGATATTTCCACATGATTCGAAAGATGAAAAAGTCGTTTACGGATCAAGTATAATATATGACATGCAAATTATGATTGTGCCGCGTTCTACTTCATTGCTGACTATCGATATAACGAAAAATAACAATCTTGTAAAAGATGAACGATTCAATTTAACTCTCGTGTATGTATGCCTTTTACTTTCTACTTTCTACTTTCTTACGTGTTCTCCTAACATAATTCGAGACTCAATTAGGCTTTCTGACAACAATTTACATACACTTTTTCTGTAGAAACAAAATTTGGTCTAAAGAGTCCCTAGAGAAAATCTGATGTTTGTGGTGCAACGTGACAATACAAAATCTTTCTAATGTTGTTTCAATTGTTTCAATTGTTGTTCTCATTAGAAAGACATCGATCTCCTCGTTTATTTCCTTAAGTACATGATGTGAAGCTTTTTTCTTATCTCTTCAGAGTAGTAAAGAGCCAGTACAATGTTTCATAAAAGTACGAGCACCTCTGTATTTCGAGAGTTACAATAGCTATTAACGTTAATTTTTAAGTGTCCACTCATGTGGAACACCAGAGATGTGTCATTATGGTATGATTATTGTTAATCAAATCTTGACACTTTATGTGAATATTGTTGTTAGATAGGACAATTTTTCCTGGAAATTTCAAGCCAGAAGAATATTTCTGTGTTTCTTTAATGAAACTAGAAACAAAGATCAGATATCCCAGGAATCATGGACCTAAATGTGATCAGAATATGATGAGGTTATAATTCAGCTCATCAGCCACCTTGATTGTCGCGATACAGAAGTACTTGTACTGTTAGAGAGCATAACATCTTGTTGTCAAATATTTCTTTGAACACACTCTCGTACAAATACTATCATAATTATTGATAAATTTAGCTTTATTAAATGCCTAGAAGCGTTCATCAATCATAACAAGTCTAATGACTAACTAACTTTATCGTATGTTTAGCTATTTTTTAATGTTATATAAATATTTCTACTAATACTTTATGAATATTGCTTGTTGATATTGGAGAAATAATTAGAGTACTTTAAAAATACCTCATTCTGGAGCCCGAATCTTCCTCTCGCCACCATATGGTTTTGAGCTCCTGACTGTTTAAACTCATTCAGCTTATAAACAGAGAATCAGCTATATTCAATATATTTTCTTTCTTCATTTCTTATGCATTTTTAAGAAAGGCTATTACCTCAGCGTTCAAGTTATATTAATTTGGTTTATTGATAATAATTAACAGTCGATGTTGTAGTTGATCTTCGATAATCTTTTTGTTCAGTTTCCCCGTCACTATAAACAGCCGTAGTTTTGACTGCTATAACTGTGCAACTAAATTTATTGCTCTAATTCAAAGAAATATTAAGGCTGAAAATCGATTCATTAATCATATAGGTACAACACAGTGGGCGAGTTTGCTATACCACGTGAACATGAGGGTTTTTCTGGTCAGAAACCGTTTTTTCTTCGTTGAAACAGTAGTCTAAAATTCGAAAAATGTTTTTTTAACGAAAAAACAGGCTTTCAAAACAATCTTTTTTCGATCAAAAACGGTTGAGGGAGATTCTTGTTTACATATTTTTTTTTAAAATTTAATTTCTTACACAATATTCGATGCAGTTTTAGGCGCTGAATCCGAATATAAACTTATTTTTTCTTGAAAGAGTTTTTGAGCCGAGAAAATCATGTTTCACCTGAAATAGAGTAGTTAGTTTTCAGTCCGTTGATCACAGTCACATAAAACCTTCTATGTTACATAACTGTGAGTCTAAGATCGTCAAATGTTATGAGAGAGTTAATTTTTCACATAAAATGTCCTAGGTATATTTCTGAAGTTAGAGATCGTCGTTTGAAGTACAATTATCAGTGTACGTAACACTTTGTTTCTGCGCATAAAACAAGTTTTTCTTCCAGAAACAATTTTGAAAACCAATTTTATGAATATTCTTTGGTTATTAATAATGTTACATTTGAAGATGAAGAAGAATTAACAATTAGTGTAAAATCAAAAATTCTAAATAAAAAGACAATAAAACCGATTGTTGATGGTAAGTAAATCATCTAGATTTCAAAAAGATTTTTAGTTTCAAGTTTTGCTCATGTATTTTTTATTCAGGTGATCCAGTTGCATACTTTTCGTTTATACCAGAACAAATTCCACACAGCTTGAAGTGGCGCGATGATTTTCGTAATGAAAAAATTTATCCCTATGGTGTATTTGAGAATGAAATATATCGTGTGATGTGTTCTGTTCATCATCGATCTGATACGGAAAAACCATTGAATGTTTTTATTTTAAAACGAACGTGTTTGCTTGATGATTGTTTACATAATCTTATTGATACAAAATCGTGCGGTGATACAAGAAAGGGTTGGACAAAGATGAATGTCGACTCGTATGCACTAGATAAATTTCGTACGCAATTTACAAGTATTGAGAGAGAAACAGTTACAGATCCTGATGTAGGTCATCAATATCTATGTTGTTACAAAAATAGTCTTATGTCAAAAGGGTTGACAGCAATGGCAAGTAAGTTTTGAAATATTTACGCTATCTCCATCTCGGTACTGTTTTCTTCTATAGATGATCGAAGTATGTTTGTTACTAAAAAGCCAGAATTCAGCATGGTTACGGGTGATATTCTGACATACGGTTGTGAAGCACATGAACTTATTTACGATGAAATATCGTTTGTGTATAACGATGGAATAAACACTTATGAACGAAAGCGTACTGATAATGAATGGGTACTTGCGGGTACGACACAAAAGAAAAAATTAGATTTACAATGGGTTGTGGATTCGACGTAAACGAAAAAAAGCAGTTTAGAGTATGAATAATCGGTAATTTTTTCTCTCTTTCTTTTAGTAGAAAAATTCATGCGATGATCGTAAACGTGTCAACATCTCCATTAACAGCACATGATAGTGGTTTTATTCAATGTAAAGTGACATCAAAACGTTCGAATATTATACCAGATATTACAGATACTTACACAATTAACGTTGATGGTATGGATCCAGTTTAAAAACGTTCTAGTTGTGTCTTCATCAATTGCAACTTTGTCAGTTTATATTTAGATCCTTTGCCAATGGGTTTTATTACTCCATTAAATCCAAATCCTAAACTTTATCGTTCGAGTGGTGCAGATATTTATTTAGATTGTAATCATCAAGGGCGACCTCAACCGAAAGTAATCTGGCTCAAAGGACAACAGCCAGTGAAATATGATTCTACAATAACATTTGGACCCAACAATGGCTCGTAAGTTTCTCTTGATAATCACTAACAAGATATATTGTTCGACGAACGTCTATTTAGTTTAAAAATAAATCGTCTTCAAGGATCAGACACAGGATATTACACGTGTGAATTAAACAATGGTCGAGATCAGAGTCTGATACGAAGTTTTGATTTATATGTAAAAGGTAAGTAAATTGATTCTCTTGTTCTTTTAATGACTTTATTGAATTATTCTATAGGAACTAATCCTGACAGTCGTTATCGTAAATTTGGAGCCATACTTGGTTTTATTTTTGCATCTCTACTATTATTAATGTTAACTTTACTCGTAATTGGTGCCTTCAAATATCGACAAATGAAAAAAAAAGTCAAGGTTAATATTTCTTTGCATTAAGAAGATAAAATCTCTTTAATTAATCTTATTTCATTCGATTGTAATTTTAGGCTAGTCAATTTACTCAAGAAAAACACAATCGTACATCACAGTTATTTGATGAAAATCAACAAATCGTCAAACAGCTTAAACTTATAGCGTTACCCGAAAATTTTGCAACAAAAAATCAAGTCAAAACTTTACTTGGTTATGTTAATGAAAGTCATGAAATGGATTCAAATGGTAAAACAGAATTTCTGACTTGTTGAATCGAACATGCCATTGTTTAGTTTAGTTTTTGCTGTTCTAAAAAGAACACTATCACTAATTAATACTTTTTGCCTATTACTAATACAATATTCATTTTCAAACATTGAAGCTTTCTGTTTCTTATTGTTTTTGACTAAAGTAGTAGCTCTTCGTCAATCGAAGAAAAGTTCGACAAAAATCATTCGTTGACTCTGGGATATTTTAATAATGTGAACGTTTGAAAGATAAAAATCTACAAATTTCTTTCTTTAAAGTTTCTTTTTTATCAATTGTTTCATTTAGATTTCAAGAAGCTTGGTGAAGGTCAATTTGGAGTAGTATACAAGGTTCGTTTGCCCGATGTTGGTTTTGTAGCTGCAAAAATGTTGCCAGGTATATTAATCATTTTGCATTTCTCATCTCCTATTTGACCTTTTATTTAATTAAGAATCAATTCGAAATGCTAATAATAGGAAAGATAAAGGAAGGAAAAGTATCGAAACAGAAGCTCTAAATAAAGACCAAGAATTCGCAAAAAAACAGAAAGCAACAGAAATGTTAATTGAAGAATTAAAAGTGTTGGGTAAAGTTGGTCAACATTTTAACATTGTTGGGTTGATATCAGTCGCATATCCCAAAACAGAACTCAAATCAATTTTCTCTGGGCCAATTCGTGACGAAGATTCATTTTATCTAATGGAATTATGTGAGAATGGTTCATTAGAATCCGTGTTAAGAACATTCAATACTCATCAAGAGAACAATAATAATTTGGAAACAAAACCGTCGTTATATAAAAATCTATCGAACACCAAAGCTGGAATTACGGTAGAACGAGCTGTCAATACTTCCTCTTTAACAGATGATGATCTAAAATTAATGGCTTATCAAGTGGCATGTGGTGTCGATTATTTGAACCGTAAACAAGTACGTAACAGATTTTTCAAAAACTACGTCGTCTTTCAATATATACTTCTTCAGATAGCGCACAGTGATATTGCTCCAAGAAACGTACTTGTCACAGATCGATTTATAATGAAAATTTGTGATTTTGGCTTAGCAACATGGACAACTTACAAGAATTACAGTGAACAATTGGCAACTGGTAGGGTTCAACTTGAGAAAAAACATGTGAGTTGCATCGTTTATTGTAAATCATTTGTTTGATTTGACTTTTCTATTCGTCTATTAGAATAGTACAGCCACACATAATCTAACACCAGAATTAGCTACAGCAATGTTACGTAATTCATCAAATGGTGGTGAAAACCTACTATTGAATAAATCATCGATGAACGCAGACGTGTAAATATTTATAAATACACCGTTTTAGTAAAACTTAAGAAATTATTTTATCTCTTCCATTGTTCATTTTAGTTGGTCATTTGGAATATTTCTATGGTGTTTATTTCTGAAATGTTAGTCACGGAATAAAAGTGTGCTAAAACTGACATTAATATATTTGATATTTTTGTTATAGGTAAATATCGGCCATTTAATCAAATTCATCGTGAAGTGCAGCATCCATCTGATTCCGAGTATATGTCGCGATTATTGAGAATACTAAGTAGCGGGCGTGTATTGGAGTACATCGATTATCATCCTGAAATTCCAAGAGAAGTGTACGCATCTTTTTCTACAAAAGACATTTTCCAGTTGTAGTTAGCACTAGCTGAGAATGAGGTACTCTAATTACAATTGAAACTCTATGTCTTTTTTAGCTATGCCATTATTCGTGTTTGTTTACGTGAAGAAACTGAACGTCCTGAAATGAGCAATATTCGTAGTTATCTCTGTCATAAGCAAATGTTATCAAGACAAGCATTCGATGTAAGTTATTATCTGATTCATTCAATATTTTTCTTAAAAAGTTCAAATTACCTTTATTTCGCTCTTTAGTACTATAAAAACGAATATAACCAAGATAAGGAAGCACATTCGAACGGTAGTAATGTAGAAGTTTTTGGTGAAGTTCAAGGTGGTGAAGATTTACCGAAATTTAACGAAAACCATGCTGTGGACAGTGACGGTAATGGTCGAATTGATATGAATTACCGTGATGGTAGTGGTGATGATCGACAACAACAACGAAAAGATTATGGCTACTATGTACCTCCGTCAGAAATAAGTAATAAGTCGACAAGACCTTTATTGCCACATTCATATCGTGATAATAGTGATTATGATCAAAACGATTCGTATTTACAGCCAACTACTGAACCTAAAAAGTTTCCCGCACATGTAAAAGGAACACACAATATTCAAAATGATAATGAACTAGAGAACAGTTCACTAAGGAAAGATAATATAATGAATAAGCCACGAAATGATAACGATAATATAAATGTAACATATAATACTGCATCAAATACTAAACGTTTAGCACCATATTTGCGTGGTAATAATGACAGTTACCTCTAACAAACAGATATTTGAATTTATCCTGAAAATGAAGCTCTGACAACACTAAGAATGTTTGTCTTGTACAATTATTATCTCTCTAGAAGGAGGCATTATATGAAAAAGAATGTTCATTCCAGTGTGTGTTAAGTGCTATGTATCTATTCGAACATCGTCTTGTTTATATTTTTATACTGCTATATTAATTAATAGTTCTTACTAATATTTGTGTTTTGTTTTAAAATATTTTTAGATTAAATTTGTTTTGCCTTTAAAGCAAAAGAATGGTTCATATACTTGATACATTCCTTTTTGATATGTGAGTTACTAATCTGATTTTTTAAGGTGCATCTTTCTTTTTTCTTTTTGTACCATGTTATTCGTTCTCTTCTCTCAATATTTTGTGATATCTGTTTTTATTCATTTCGTTTGTTTTTTTATAAGAATTTTTGTATATTTCTTTTTTTTATTCTTTAACGCAATTTTTTTACATAACAGTTTTTGAGAAAAAAAAAAATTGATAAAATTTTTAGCTTACGAGTAGCTGATATTCTGATAGCAAATGAGGTAACAGTAACAATTTTCACAGCTTCAAAACTATGCAGATGGAATATTCAGTTGAGTTTTCGAACGATCTAAAGTTTTTCAGTTATTAAAGTAAACTAGCTAGCTAATATGAATAAGTTTAACCAGAGATGGGCGAGTTATCCTTTTTTTTTAATGGCAATCGTTTTGTAACCAAATAAAAGTCAAAACAAAACAAGTGACAAAAAATTGTCGAAAACATACAAAATAGATATCTATAAACATTAGATACACAATATACCTAAATATCTGAGAAATAAATAACACAACGAAAAACAGTATCTTAATTATATTGTTCATGTATTATTGACTCAAATGTTTTCGATTTTAAAATAACATAGTAACTTCGACGGAACACACGTACAATTCTTTGAAATTCATTTTCATCAAAAACACTTCGAGCAGTATTTGTAAGATCAAATGGCTCTAAAATAGTATAATAGAAACAATTAAATACAAACAATATACAGATACATCAAAAGTATAATACTCGCCTTCAATCGCAATTAAACTATTTCCATAATTAGTTCTATCATTATCCAAAAAATCCTCTTTATCTAATAAACTCCCGAGTCGAACACTGATAGCATAATCTTCAAATCTAAAATTGATCAAAATTGTAAATTGATCATGCAGTTTTGTGTATTCAATCGATATTGACGTACCTAAACTGTTTTACATAATAACTCAAAAATCCAATAAATAATTCTCCTACTAATTGGATATTTTGTGACTGCCATAATTCAGATGGTTTATCGTTGCGTTTAAGTTGAGAACAAGGAATTTTTGCATCAAATCGATCCTAAAATCAAAATTCAGTTAGAATAGAATACTAATAGTGTCTGTTGTTACATACAGGTAACAGTTGTTGCCAAACTGGGACAACAGGCGGCGACGCTATACCTAAGAAAATGAAACATAATAGACTAATTTCTTTGCTTCCAGAGAAAAGTGAAAAATACGAACTTTGTAAGTAATAAATAATCATCAATGTCAACGAATAACTGGAAAGTGTTTGTTGGCTAGCATCATTGATATTGTGAAATTTGGCCCAAGTTTTTAGACTAAGAACTATAAGAAATTATTGTCTTATTAAAAAAAATCAGATTATAACGCTTTTATTATTAATACCTAAGGGTGCCACGCGTGGATCAGTTTCTGAATAAAATCGAAGTAAATCTGTGTTACGTATTCCCGTCACGTTATTTATATTTAAATCACAACGTAATCGACTACCAAAATGAGAAAAACGTTTAGAAAAAAACTAAATAAAAATTTGTTCGATCAACGAGCGGCATTCACCTCGCAGAATCGGTGAAACGTAGAATAGGTACTCGAGCACGGATCAAATCACAACCGCCTACAACTAGAAAAAACAAAATTTCTAACAGATAGTAGTTGCTTTTACAATTATTTATCCTTTTCTTACACAAATATCTCCTACACGACTTGCGTAATATTTCTAAAAACTTGACGGCTTCCCGTTTTTGATCGATCTAAAACGAATATATTCACAATCGCAATGGTTATGGATTTTCCTACTTTCTTACCACAATTTGAGAAATAACAATGCATATATCAGCATCAGTATTCTCTGCCGCAAAACCTGAAGCACTAGAGCCAACCAGAAACACGCCAACATCTAAGCAGAGAAGTGTTTTCTTACAATGGGCTCGAATAATGTATTAAGTGACATGAAAGATTGCCATATATAATGTTTTGATGCATGAATAAACAATTTTATTCTACTGAAGAAGTTTACCTGGTACGATACCCGATAACATGGAAAAGAGATCTTGACATAGATTCCATTTAGCATAATATGTAGATTGTACTTGTTTAATTGTATCAAAATGATTCAAAATTTCATTTGTCAACTAAAATAGGATCAAGAAAAGTTCTGATTTGAATAACAGTTTGAGTATATTAGTTTCGCTCTACAACGATTGCTTATTCAGCAATCAAACCATAGCTACAGTCTCAAGAACATCATTCTTGAACAGGAAATTCTCTAGTTTTAAATGACTCAAAGGGAAAAATATGCGATGTAGAATATCAAATTGCTATCATAACCGTTGATATTCTCTAAACTTACCGTATTTTCATCATTGTTGGCTTTAAATTTTTTCACAAACGGTCGCGACACGAGTGAGCTACACAAAAGAGAAAAATAATGTTACTCTGAAATAAGAAAATTGGAATCTACTTCAACGAGCGTTTTCTGTTTGATTCTGGATTTTTCAACTGATGAAAGATGTTGTCATTATTATTAAAATTTCGTTGGTTTTGAAATGAACCTCGATTTCTACCAAAGCCAGTACTGCCACGAATCGAAAAGCTAAATGGTCGCCTAGATGTTGCCATCTATAACAGAATGGAGAAAAGAAATAAGAAAAAACCTTGAATTTGGTTAAACACATAGATGCTTCCTTTTCCCCGCTTCAAGCCTCGTAAAAGATGTATGATCAAAATATTTTTCTCTTTATTTCTATACAAAATAACACGTGTAAAAGTCTAATAGTCGTTAACATACGACATAAATGTCATTCTTGGAATGCGTTCATATGAATGGTGACAGCTTCCACTATTTGTTGAGCATTTTTCGTTCGTCCATAATAGTCAATGAATTCACCTTTTGGATTAACTAAATACATTATGATTGCATGATCAACAATATAATCATTGCCTACTTTCGGTCCTTGACTAAAATACACACGATAATGTTTACACATATTTTGAACTTGTTCTCGTGTGCCGGTTAATCCAATGAAATGGGGTGAAAAATCTTTGATATATGTCGATACTAATTCGGGTGTATCACGTTCCGGATCAACGGAAACAAATAGTGGTTGAAACGGATATTTCTTATTGGTGATTGACGATGACGACGATGCAAATTTCTTTCGTAGAATTTCAGTTACTTCAGCTAATTTTTCTAATTCTTCTGGACAAATATCAGGACAATGCGTAAAACCAAAATAGATTAAAATCCACTGACCATGAAAATCTTTATCTGTTACCGTTTTTTTCTCATGTGTTATCAATTCAAATGGGCCACCAATTGCCATTTTCCCCACGTGAGCACGCTGCTGAGCTCGAAAACGTTGTTTTTTCTTTGTATCAAGATAATACATGTAAAGTAAAAGTGATCCAGCACCTATAAAAGTGACGGTTACAGACTTCCATGTTATGTTAAATTTTGGTTTTGCTTTTGCTGCTGACGGCTTAGCATTCGGTAATGTACCGCTTTCATTCGATAATGGCGGTAATGACTGTGATGTATGCGCTGTGGTGAGTGAAAATTGACGAAAGGAAATATTTTTGTTTGATGTATAGCGTCGACTAAAATATCGGCTTAGGCAGTATAATGGCAGCGTTGTACGAGAGATAACTGACATTTTACAGTACAGAAGAAAAAGAATCTTTAAAACAAAAAATGAACCAAATTGTACAAGATACGAATGTATATTACAACGTGGCCTATCAGAATTCGAGATATGACATATGACATTTGACAATGAATACATCGAAACTTTGAGTATCATATCTATTGTACAGTGTTGTAGGACATTTTTTAATCTCATCTCTTAGAACAACTTAAAGGAAAAAAATGTGATGTCGGACTCTTACACCTTTTTTGCACATTTTTGAAAAATGAGACAAACTTTTGAGTCTAAGTATACCATACCACTAGAACCATGTTTTTATACGGATTATGATACATTGATGTATTTTACAAAGAAACAAAGTCTAAAATATCATAGGACAAAAAGACTCAGAGCCAACTAAAAAGAGTTTGTAGTGCAGAGCACTAAATGTATGACAAATCACTTGTAAGAGTTTGTAAAGGGCTAATGGAAAGTTTAGATCGAACCGACCAAAACGCAATATGATTAAAATTTATTTGTTTTCCCGAAATTTTATTTTCCAATACAAAAATCTCGAAATATAACATCAAGAATTTCTTCTGTTGTCACAATACCCGTGATTTTCCCTAATGAACGTGTAGCTAAACGTAAATGTTCGATAGCTATAACAATATCTTTCTCAAACATTGAAAAATACATATCTAAATTGTGAATAGTCTTTTTTAATTCATTACGATGTCGTTCATTTGTCAAATGTGGACATGAAAACGACGGTTCGGTACATCTATAAATACAGTAAGAACATTGGAAATAAATTAAAAGCTGTTGATGGGTAAATAATCTTACTTTTCTTTAACACATTGCGTTAATATCTCAAGGAATAAATCAACATTATGGCCTGTTAAACATGATATAGCGACAACTGGAGAGTTTAATATTGTTTGTGAATTATCAATGTTTAATCCAGTTAATAAATCAGTTTTATTAACAATGATAATTTTTGATAGTGATTCAAATGATGCGTTATTCTTCGTCAATGAAAATAAATCCGATAAATGCTGTTTCATATAGTCATATAAATTATTCATCAAACTGTTTGTTAAATCAATAACAATGAGGAGAATATCGCATTCATTTGCCCTTAAAAGAGATAACCACCAGAAGTTATAACAGTTGTTTCAGGGTAAATCCGTTACTTCTTATTTTCCTTATATTTCCATCGAATTTTACTTAGTAAGCCACGTGATTTTAAAAAATACTTGTCTCTACAGAAAAAAATGAAATTCTCTACAAAAAGTGTATGGAGTCTTTTGTTATAAAAGATAACTCAGAAGCCTGCGGAGAAAATTCTGTATCAATTTTGAACTTGATTTTGCACAAACTTCTCAATACAATATCAACTACTGGAAGAAATTAAAGATAACGTTTACATGCTCTGAAGTATGACCTTTCTCACGATATATAAAAAATTGTTTTGAAATATCTTTTTAACAAAGACTTTTGATGAAAAACTAGAAAAACAGAAATTTTGGTTCATGGGATGGGTAGCTGTACAGAAAAAGGTTACAGGATGGCTAATCAAGTTGCCAATAAAGTTTTTCGATAACTTGAAAAATCAAAGAGGAAAAGTAGAAAAAATAGCTTTTAGTCTGAAAGTTGATAAATTTTGCGTTGAAATTTCTGGGAAAATTTTTCCCAGTATTTTCCAATTTTTTCATAACAAAACACTCCATACCCTTTCTGTAGAGACTTTCATGACAATTATTTTTTAAAATAATGTGGTTTACTGAGTAAAATTTGATGGAGATATAAGGAAAATATGAAGTAACGGATTTACTCTGAAATAAATCTTAGAAGACTTTAAATGTATACTAATTACCTGTCCAATGCTCTCGAGATACCTTCAGTTTCAATAACATCATTTGTCTCACGTAAACCAGCTGTATCCGCTAACACTACAGGATATCCTCCCAGATTAATTGTTGATTCTACAATGTCACGTGTCGTACCGGCAATAGGCGATACAATAGCTGATGGTTTTTGAGCTACAGTAAGAAAAAGAGGTTTAGAACATAAACAAGGTAATGTACATGAATAAACATACTTAGAATATTGAGTAACGAGCTCTAAAACATATAAAAAGAAAGTTACAAATGATGTCAGAATCTAAATCGAAATGAGAACAAACCTTGCCTGCGTTTGGTGCACCAATAATAGCAATTTTACATCCGGACCGTAGAATTTCTCCACGTCTATTATCTTGTAGATGTGTTAGTATATTTTCAGTCAGTGATTTCAATTTAACATTTACTAAAAAAGTGGAAACTTATATTCTGATAAAAAATGAAATGGAAAAGTCACCTTCATCTAGAACATTGTCTTCAATATTTTGATCTTCATGAAAATCTAAATAAGCTTCGGCATGAGCTGTACACTATAAATAAACATAAACTATATTTTTCTGTGTAAATTAGCTATGATTTAATCTACCTTGACTAAATCTGTCCTCCATTTTTTGTAAAGTTCGCTCAATGATCCTTTCATTTGATAAATGGATTGCTTTCGTTGTTGTTCTGTTTCAGCATTAATCAAGTCAATGAGACCCTCCACTTCTGTTAAATCCATACGATTATTCATATACGCTCTATATCAATCACATCTAAATAATTCATTTTGAGAACAAAGAATAAGAAAGGCGCCAACAGTCACAAACGATATACCTTTTTGAAAATTCTCCAGGCTCTGCCAATCGATAATTGTTAAACGAGTCGAGTATTCTGTACATAGCACTGGCAACAGCTTTTGAACCATGAATATGACTTGAAGACAAATAACTACAATTATTTCAAAGTCGAAAAGGATTCTAAAGTAACTTACAATTCTACAACGTCTTCTCCTGTAAAACTTTTGGGTTCTATAATCACAAGAAACATGCAATACATAAACGAATATTGGCTAGTAATTTACTTTTAAACCAAACAACCATCGATTCATCAATTAATTCGTTGTTATATGGATCATATAATTTTCTCAAATAAAGTTGTTTTTGTTTAAATATATCCAGTGAAGTTTCTTTTGTTAATGAAAGTAATGATTTAGTTGCATATAAACCTAAAATACAAGTATAAGATAAACGGAAAACGATTATAAAATCATCTCGTACATACCAGATACTCTGATTATAGCCACTCCACTTCGAGATTGTCCACTTGCCAAAGCATAAATAGTCGATGAAGAATACCAATAGCGAGAATCAGAAAACAAATGTTTGTAAAGAGCAGGGGCACGCAGACAAAACCATTTGCCCAGCATTTCTGATAAAAAGTAATCAATCAAATATAGACGAGCTGATTTTCTTATTGATCATCTACAGCTGAATTACAAGTATAACATTTTTGAAGGAATATGACCATGTTTTAAATCACATTATTTTAATTAATTCCAAAAAAAAGCGAAAGCATTTTGCTCATTATTTCGAACTGTATTTCAAGCAGAAAAATATTTACAATAAACAAAAAGAAAAATAAACGATTGTTATTGCTGTTTTTTGTGTAAAATGACATTTAGTTTTTAGATAAATAAATATCATATGTAATAAAAAGGAAAGAAAAGCGATACTCTAATTGCTAACGGACGGTTCCGTTACGAAAAATGAAGAAAATTATTGCTGTTACAATCAAAGTCGAAAAAATTACTGTTAGAAGAAGAAAAGACTGAGTTGCTAAGAGACTAATAAAACGTTGACTAGGTTCCATTTGTTTTTTTAAACAAGCTGAAAAATATGTATATCTTAAAGTTTGTATTGCAAAAAAAGCCTAAAATTTGGTGAGAATAAAAAAAGTTATTCTGCATCCGGCAGTAGTTAATCAAAACCAACACATTTGTTTTTGTGACTAAAAAAAAGTCACTGTTTTATATAGTCGACATGAAAATAGAAGACGAACGTAAGGCATCGTTAGTTAGAAAATAAAAGAACATCAGAAAGACGAAGAAAATACGCTTTCATTTTGTTAGTAATTGTGATTTTGAACTGTTTCGTATTGGTGAATTACGTGTCAGCCTTGGAAAATTGAGTGAACACGGAGAAAATGACGATAGATGAAGATACTCGTTAGAAGAGATTCTCGGTTGCAAATCACACATGGAATAACTTTTAAAACCAAGTAATAAGGGTTGCTGGACTTTCGACGATAAAGCTAAATCAAAAAGAAAACAAATTAAGGCTCACGAGAAAATTCTCAGACTATATGTTATTTCGACTTGAACACATAATTCTGCTACCGCAGGGGGATTTTGTCATGATTTTTCTGTATTTTGTTTCTCTTACAGTTTTTGAACGAAAATACTTCCAGAGCTCTGAAACATCTTAAATTGAAGAGAAAAGTGTACACAATAATTTTAGATGTTCCCGCACTCTACACGTTCTTTTGTTCAGGAAATACTGAGTACACTTTTCGCGTCAGTTTAACATGTTTAAGAGCTCTGGCAATATTTTGTTCAAAAATTGTAAGAAAGAAAATATAGAAAAACCGTGACGGAAACGCACTGCGGTAGCAGAGTAACGTGACCAAGCTGATTTACCGTTCATTGCCGTAGATTCTGGATGTATCTCTATCTCGCATTCTAAAGGAAAGATGAATAAAGGAGCGTATGTTGACTAGATAACTAATTTATACCTTCAATATTGGCTATGGGTGCGCCACTAATTTCTGCTGTCGTTGTTCTTCGTCTGTCTTCTTGATCATTGGCTGAAAAAATTTCTAAATCGGAAGAAAAACTGGTCGATCATTAACACAAATCCAGAAAATAATTCAGACTCACCAACTGGTGCTGTAATTCGAACGGAATTACTGCTTGGGTTACCAGTAATCGTGTTTGCAGTTTGAGCACCTATTGTTGGTTCTCGCGGAATCAGTTGAGGAAACATTTCGTTGAATGCTTTATCTAAAAGAAGTGCATCATTTATTTGATGAAAACTTATAACGTCAGAAACTTACAACTTATCAAAACAGGATCTTTGAACGTCTTTTGACGGCGGCATGCTCGGCGCTTAAGCTATTAAATGAAAACCGATAAATGTGAAAGGGAATTCGTAGATTTTTTCTTACTTTCAACTGTCTAGCAAGCAGAAAACTACCATAAAGTGGCAATGCTATCACGGCCACAGAAGCACAAACACATGCTGCTGCAATTGCGAAACAGACAATAAGTGGTGCAGCGATTATTTTTCCACCTAAAGAAAAGACTACATTTTAACAAGACAGAGAAAAGAGTGCAAACAGATAATGTACCTAGAATGGAGCCACGTATCAGACGACGTTTAAAGGGTTTATCCGGATAAAATCGATATTTACAACCAAGCACACTAAATTCACTGTAATGATCACCTAAAACAAAAAACAATAAAGACGTTTATACTCTTCGTACAATGAACATTGCGTCCTAGTACCGATGAATTTGATGTCACGAAAGCGTCCGCCACATTTGTAACAAAACTCAGTTTTGCATCGTACACAAACTTAAAAAAACAGAAAATATAACCGCCACTGATTTGATGTTAAACTTCGATTTACTCATGTGATCGCAACCCTTCGTACGTTGGATGTAGATCTAGAAATAAAACTGATAGAAAATGTGTCATTTCTGAATGGATAAACTCTTACTTTGCACCTGGGACATGATACTGCATTGTGTTGACCATAATGGACTTCTTTGGCCCACGTTTTTAACATACGATCACCTTTACGAAATTCTTTGCAAGTGATACCGTCATGCCACGGTGCATGACCTAAAATTGACAGAGGCAACTTTGATCTAAACTTCAATGGAAAGGAGAAAATCGCTACTTACATTGAAAGCACCAGATGAGATTACATTCTGCACATTGTACTTTGGTCGGTGCTCTACGCATATGAAGAAATAAATTGCGGTCTATTTCGTGAACATTTGAACATCGTGGGCACGTTTTAACATTTATTTCACGATTAACGTCTGCAAGAAAATGAAAAAATTTCTCGCGTAACTCTGGTTGCAATCTTGTGATTATTTCATCGCGATGTATATACTGTTGACATAACATATTTGGACATTGAATTTTAACAACTCCTTGTTTTATTTGATGTTCGATATACTCATTCATACAATAATTGCATACGTGAAATTCACAACACGTTCGCAATTGTAAAAGTTTATTCTCGTAACAAATCGAGCATTCAGACATTAATTCACGACCTATTGGATACGTTAATGATTGAGTGATGGATTTAATGTGTTTTTGATTAAGCAATGAAATGGTTCCATTTGTCGGAAATTCCGTTTGCTGCATCTCACCCTCACCACTTTCTTCAACTGGATCTTCCTCATTGTCACTCTCACTCTGTTCAATCTCATCATCATCTTCGTCACTGCTCGTATCTGTTTCTATTCCATATAACTCTATTTTTAAATCATCTGTATCTGACATTTTTCGTCGTTTTAATGGATTATTTTCTTTTTGTTGTTGACTTTTCTTCTTTTTTATTTCGCGTAACGCACGTGCTCTCGAGCCATTTATAAAACTATTTCGATTACGCTGAACAAATGTAGGATTATTCGCTGATGTTTTTTGCGAATCTGCTGACGATGTTGATGAGAGTGGACGATGCATCGATGAATGAGAAGAATAAGATGTTGCACGGTTAGAAACAGACGTGTTAGTTTGTCCACAATAGCCTGATGCATTTGTAATGGTTTGCAGAGCAGTTCCTGTGCAAGCAGCAGCCATTCCTGTCGGCTGTTGACGTGTGCGAATATGTGTAGGCTTTTGTAATGGATAATTTAGATAACGTTCAAGTACTTGCCTTTGAGCTGTTGTTAATGGGAGATTAGCACGTAAATTAGGGTGTCTTGCACCGCGTTCTGAATGCCAACGTCGTTGCGTTGTTGAACTTTCTATCACTACGCCGTTTCCAACATTAGTATTTGTTTTGAGACTATTTTTCAAAAAGTTGTCCAATATAGCTGTTGAACCGAGCATTATTTTCCTATTGAGTGAATGAGTTTTTGATACAATATCGCTATTGTCTGGAAAATAATCATTATTTGTAATCAATGTTTCGACAATGTGTTCAAGCTTTGTACTATAATTATTTAATGATATTGAACATGAATGATTCAATGGATCTGTATGTTGACAAGCATTATTCAATGTTTGTGTATCAATACTACGTAATGAAGCCGCTGCTAACAGTGGCGGTGGAGTTGTAGCTGATTGAATCAATTTCTTTTTTAAACAAGATATGTCAACATTAGATATAGAAGAAAAATTTGTGCTAACTGTACTCGGTGCCATTTCAGACATTTTACGATCATCGTCGAATAAATCCAAGTTAAATAAAGAGCAGTGTTGCCATTTTGGATGATGAGATGAATTTTTAACAGCCATTTTTTGCTTAATTTCTAATCTACGGAAGAAGTTCCAGAAAACGAGTATTAAATTCTAAGAGGAATTGTCACTTGCAGCCGAATCGATATAGTAGCTTAAGCGTATGCTTTCTTTTCACACAATTTCTTTGATCAGCCAACTGACTTAAAAAACATCATGGTAGTATAAAAGTTTGCAAGTAATTTTTAAAGTAAAAAAGCAGCATCTCACCTGAAATTATCTGATAAACGCTACTTTAAACATTCACATGATCTGAAGTAACATAAAAGGTACCACATTATTGATTAAAAGGATTTAACAGTTGAAATGACATAGATTTTATTACAGCAGCAGTCATTTATTTAATAATTTTATCTAAGACTTAGACTGTTTTATTCACGAAAAGTGAGAGTCATCAAAGGTCCCCGATCTGTAATAACAATAACTCAAGCCAAACAACACCAAAAGAGTAATAAATAAATAACAAAATAAAGAAGACAACTTGACGTTTTGACTCGTCATAGTCATTTTCAAAAGTAAAATACATAGATTGTTTATAATTAAAATTAAACAACTAGAATGAATCTGAAGAGTCGAAACGGGTACTTCAACAGATCGACCGCCTTTCACCACTACCATCACTCACCCTCACCGCTACCGCCGCTCACTTTTACCGCTAGGGAGGTATTCGATCTGTAGAAGTACCTCGAAACGTCAAGTTAGAATAGTTGAACAAAAAAGAAATAAGTTCATCGATCATGTGAAACATCGTGTTCCAGAAACGAACACTCAGTATTGCGAAAAGCGGCATTTTATTATTCTTTTCATTGTATCTTTATGTATACGCATTATATCCACCGTGTATCCCGCTATAACCTCATATTATTTCCCACGTCATAAAGATCATATCGGTTATACTGTTTTTAGAATTTTAAGCTTAATTTGTACTTCTATTTAGATTTTTTCTGTCTCATCTCCTGTTGCTATTTTATTTTAACCAACATTCATAGACACATCTCCAGACGGCACTCTCATTGGTTAACGATAACTGTAAACGGTAACAATTAAAACTAGTAAATCCCATGATAAAGTTTGTCGCCAGCATCTACGCGAGATGGCAGTAGTTTGAAGGCATTAAGTTATCAGACTTGAATTCTCAATTACGTTCTTTTTACTCTGTGTGATACTGAAGAACGCTACTGTTTCCTTTTCAGCCCAACATTTTCTAACAAATTAAAAATTGAATTTGTGAAAATTCACCGTTTGTTCTGAAAAAAACTCAACTACATCTCTTGTTTCTTTTTCGTTTCCTTTTCGTTTTATATTTGGTTGAAATATTAGAATTTGTATTAGCCAAAAATTATCGTAACTAGTGTCAAAATGTTTCATGAAATGCACCGATATATAAGAGTTCCTTGATTTTTGGAAAAATTTTTCTCTTTTAAGTTTTTTTCCCAAATTTTTCTCAAGTTTTATTCTCCCAAAAAAATGACACCTCGTCTCTGATGTTTTCACACAACATGGCACTGGTTGTTGGCTTCGGTTCAATTGTTCTATTTGTGTATTTTTCGCAACAAAGAAATAAAAGAAGAGAAACAAAAAACATACACATAAAAGTAAAAAAATAATGGAGTAAAAAAATAACAAATTATAAATTATTAATAAATTTTTTAATATAAAGTAAAATTAATAAATTAGAAATCGATCATCATACACTCACGGTTTGACAAATACAAACATGGAAGAAAAGAAAAAAAAAACGATGGTAAAAAAAATAAGCGTAGATAGATGTAAACAACAGATCATGCCACATAACTATATTCATCAGTTGAAGTCCGTTTAAGATATTGTTTATCGATCAATATTTCAATACATTTTTTAATTAACTGAATTGATGGCATAAAACGTTGTTTTGACTGGGTAATTACCTAAAAAGTAAACGAAAAATCTTAGTCAAATAATTTGTTTTTTCCATTGAAAAAATTATTGATAAAAGTTGTACCTCTTCTATCAACGAATTATGCTTGAGCATTTTGCGTGCCTTCATAATCCGTACGATAACAGCTTGAAGATAAAATTTTCGATCTTCATCGGCCGCCTGTTGAGCAGCTTCTGCTTCCTAAATATTTTCAAACAAAAACAAAAGTAATATATGTCTTTGTCAAAGAGAAATAATCCTACTTGTATTTTATCTTTTTGTCCAATAAATGATATTTTAAATTTTGTTCGTTTACTTTTATAATCAAAATTAATTTCGAGTACTGAATCAGATTTCAATTCATTCTAAACAAAATACAAATACTTTCCCTATACTGTTGAGCAGATTAATTATTTAAATTTACCGCATTTCCTAATAAAAATTTGCCTTCAATCAATGATTGTATTTGTTTTTCTAATTCTTTAGTATTTAGCTTTGTCGCTTCTTCTAATTCTCCTACTGTCAATCGTTGAGATTCATTGAAACATAATAATATAGCCATTTGGTATGTACCCATTGTTACGAAGTATGGACGATCAAGATGACACATTCGAACTTCAGCTGAAAATTAAATGATAAATTAGTAGACAGGGTGTAGGATTTCTTCTAACTGTATTTTATCTCGCTAAACGATCTTAAAAGTAAGAATAGAAATAGAAATTTTCTTTGAATTCATGGATGTGAGACAGTTTCCTTTATAAAAATTGTAATTAAACTTTTTTTATCAATAAATAAAATATCTTATGTGTCTATTTACCGGTAGAAAGATTATGCATCCAACATAATTTTCTTCCATTGTATTGATTTCCATAAAATTCTTCGAACTAAAATTATATTGAAATGTTAGATAGGATAATGAAAAACTAAAGAAAACATACCATATGTAACGGTTTTTCTAATTGTTGAGGTATAGAAAATGTATTTGTACTCGTTTGAGATATCGGCCACGAATTTGCCTGTATAAAATACCGATACAATACAAATTAACACACATAATTCAACATGACGTTTTGCTTACTTGTAAAACATAGATACTAAAATCGATTCCAATTAAAGTTGCCATTGTGGTTGTGGTAGATGACTGCTGATGCTGCTGATGATGATGATCAGCAGACATGATGACTTTTAAACGTTCCAAAAATTTTGAATTTAAATCATCACTAACTTTAATATCTTGAAACATACGTGCTAATTTACCGGTAAATTCATAACCGCATGTTTGCTGAAAAAAAAGAAGAAAACACATTTTATTCATTGGAAAAATATAGATCTATTATATATTTATCTACTTTTAATTTTGTAACCATAAATTCTTCAGCATCTATAGAAGTTGATTGATTATTAATAAGTCGTCGGGCAAGCATTTTTTGATAAAACTAAACATGATATGTATTGCTGATTATTTAATACATTTTACATATATACTGATACATACTCGTTGAAAATAATCTTTATCATCTAAATATTGAAATATTGTTATAGAAGCTAATAATTTATCTTCAATTTCTTGTTCTGTAGCTGATTTAGATGATTTACGTAATAAATTATCACAATAACGAGCTAATAGTTCAGGTGCTTTTGAGGCTTGTTTTGGATCATATTTCATATTTACAATATTCGCACAGGCTTTATCAAGAGCTAGAAAATAAAACAATAAAAATTTCTATACTATAAAAAAAAGACATAAACCGTCTTTCATACAAACGTACAGCTAACAAATTCTTGATCATTTGAAAATACATCACGTATAACATTTCCATATTTATTGTGTAATTCAAGTAATGTTTCGACAAATAATGTTGGCAACTAGTCAAAATAGAAATAGAAATATTAATCATTATTTTAACTTAATTTAACAAAATAAACACACATTTTCTCCTTTGAGTGATTGAACTTTTTCATTTCCAATATGTGTTATATTATCTTGTAAACGTTCAACCATATATTGAATACCCGTTTGAATTGGTTTCAATAATTTATACATATTTTGTAATGCTTCCATATCTTCTTCCACAATTAATTTATTACATTCATTTTTAAAAATTTCCATGTTTACAATAATTAAATATAGATGACATTCATTATAGACTTTTGTATAAGATGTTGGATTTAAAAATTTTCGACTACGAAATTCTTCATCATCCAATAATAATAGCACCTAAATATAATCTTATATAGTTAGAGAAAGAAATTCAATATAAAACGAAATTTTTATCGAGGACTTGTTAACTAGCATGTGTTAACGATACCTTCTTCATATATTGAACACAATTCAGGACGGATAGTAAACGATTTCCTTCTTGTTTATAATATTCACCGGTTGCTTGCAATAACTGTGCTTCAAATGATTTTTCATATAACTATTTTAAAAAAAAAAAAGAGAGAACGTGTTGTATTTGAGAATAGCAATGTGTTTTTTTCGTTTTTTTTTTACTTCTAATGGAAATTTTTTTCGATGTTGACAAACATCAACGAATGACATAATTACTCCTTTGATTGTTGCTTGATTTACACTTTCATTTATTCGATCTCTAAAATAATTAAAATACTAAAATAAAAGCTATTTTTATAGTATCATCACTCATGTACCTGTGAATTTGTTCTAGTAGTAGATTAACTAGACGATCTTTTAATGGTTCAATTATTATTTTTGTCCAACAATCAAATGCCATTTCTCCAATTTCTATTAATTGTTGATCATTTGACTCTAAATTACACTCGATTGATGGATAGTTTTCGTGTTCATTTGCTTGACGTTTTTTAACAAATTGTGTATTTAAATATCTAAAAGAAAGGAAAAAAATTCCATGCAAGCATTCACATTACATACTCTTACCCATAAAGGAGATTGAGATATTGTGCTCCACTGCTATATTCAGTCCAATATTTGACGTATACTGTTAACATATCTTGATCAGCATCCGAAATATCCTATGAAAGATTAATAAAACAAACAAAAAAAATCAGTTTCATTTTGTTTCTTTCTTCTTACTTTTTTCATCGATGTTGTATGATCTTCAAGAAACCGTTTTGTCTCTTCATAAAGACGTTCAGCATGACTTTCCGGTGTTGAAACACACAAGTCATAAATATCTGTAAACAGTGTGTTAAGGTGAAAAAAAAAACCGAATAATTCACAAACGAATAAGTAAAGTAAACCGTTAAAAAAAAGAATATGAAAAACGTGTATGCCATGTTTGCTTGTTAATTGCGCCATAACGACTTAAACTAATTACACATCGTATTGTATCGAGAACAGTCGGCCATCTATCATTAAAATCAATTACCTAAACAAAAAAAACCAATGGATATGAAAATAAGGTGAATGTTCAATACTGACTTACTTTCGGTCTCAACGACATATTTGTTTAAGTATTTTGTCTAATATATGTCTATAAAGAAGATATGATAAACTGAACATACAAAGAGAATTTTTTACAAGTTAAATGACTTTGTTGAACTATTTTACAATATAACGACATTTGAATTGAGCTAAAACGTTTGTTTATTCTGTCCAATATCGTTTTATTTTGTTCAACTTATTGTCTTCCTTTGACAATCAGTCCTTTTTTTGACAGATAAACGCAGAGAATTGTCACATATAGGATTCTTCCTAAATAAAAGACTCCCTCTCGAAGCATAATGTAAATTCTAGAATAAAAGGCTCTCCTCCTCTTGTTGCGTGAAAGTCGATTTCTTCTCGAATTTCCGCATTAGGCAATTTATGAACACGTTGAATTTCTTCTTTTTCTTGTATAGTGTGACGCATGGGAAAGAAAAAAGCCTCCAACATGAAACATTTTCTTGTTAATGTATGAACAGCTGATATGCTTGCATATGTAAGTACAGATGTAAGAATGGAATATCAACACGATCATTATGAGTGTTAAAATAAATAAAACTGAAAAAAAAATGTAAACATAAGTTTTTAATGGAGAAGAATATAAGTCATAGATCTTTTTCTGTTCTTATTCTATAGAAAATTGCGACATTTTTTTGACATGAAGGATCTCAGTGTGATTCTCTCTGTAAGTGAGAGAATTATGGTTCTATAATAGACGTTTAAGTTATAGGACAATTAGTCTTACCAGGGATGTTTCCTTAAAATGTTGAAAAAGCAGAGATCAGTTGTTTTTCCTTTTCAGCTGTTCTATTACTGTTTTTTTTAAAGCCATACGTGTAGAACGAAAAAATAATTAAAGTTCTTAATTTATTTTTCAAAAAGAAAAAAAAGTTAAAAAGTGGAAAAGGTGTCAACTCTCACTCTCACTGGGACTAACAAAAACAAACAGTTTACTCCAATAACGATCCTCACTCGGTTCTCGTTTGTCAAAGCAATAAAGATTCATCAATCACAATTCCAATATCAACTCTTTCTTGACCTTTTTAGCTCAATAATAAAATCAGTCGTTACTATTTACCGATTTATTCAAACTGGAAACTATGGATATGTGCATGAAGTTTCTTTTGTATTTGTCTGAACTGTTAATTTATTTTTTAGAATATAAAATTCGAAACAAAAGAATTGGTTTTAATCTAAAATAAGGCAAATCAGAAAAAAGAAGCTATATTTGGTATTTCTATTGTGCCAGCATAGCACTGAGTGTTATGGTAGTTATCGATAAAACAGTGTAGTAAGTGCTATTGGGGGATGAAGCTCCTTTTTGCAAGATCGAAATCATGTTTTTCATGGTTTTTTTTAACGAACATGATTCATTGATTTCAGAAACAAGTAGAAAATCAAAAATATCTCTTAAAAATTAGGTAATTGATTGGACAAAAACTTTTTTGTGAACAGATAGAACGGATACGGGATAGAGATCGGAATCAAAAACACGAATTTCAACGAACTATAGTGATTAAACTAAACATAAATAAGACAAGGTTGCTGTATTTATTAGAAAATAAACCGATGCTATTTCATGAAGAAAAATGTGAATAAGACTACATTGTGGAACTGATTATGCATAGGAAATAAAAACAACAGTTTATTTTTGATGTGAGATCTAGTGTAGTGCAAATAAGGAAAAGAAGGTTCAAGATATACTAAAATTATATCACATTAAATTGAGAAAAAAAAGATATAGAAAAAAGTTAGTGTACAACCATTTATATGAAAATAAAAATATATCACGGTGGTTGATTTGGAAGAAAACACGTGTGCAAATGCTTAATATACACATACACACTCTCACACAAAATCGGCTAGGACGGACGGAAGCATTCTCACTGTGCAAATAATGCAAAATCAAAAAAAGAAAAATGTACAATTCGCAAAATAGAACAATACAATCATTGTATTTTGAAACAAAGAAAATATATTTAAAATTTTCTTTGCATTTGAGCAATTTTTTATCAAATTAGAAGTGGTATCAAAATAGGTCAAACATATAAATCGCTCATAGTGGAAACAAATACAAAACTTAGTCGTTCTCATATAAATAATAAAGTTCGAAAAAGTTTTATGCAACTACTGTAAATAGAAAAAGAGAATTGGAACAATCAAATGGTTAAATACTGATAAAAAAGCAAAAGCAAAAAATGTGCAGATACAGCATTGTTTGCAGGTGACAGTGAAGATCGGTGCGAGATAGTGTACAGCAACGCGATTATAGAAAAATGAAATATATTTTCTTTCTAGTGTGTTGGTGCCTGAAAAATAAATTTAATATTTTCATATTTGTCTTTTAATTCATTTTGTTGTACTAATTGATTAATTATACCAGTAAGATTAATTTGTTTCAAATTTTTACATGAATCTAATATTATTTTAATTCCATCCATTGTACATTTGGTAAAATTTAATAATAATATTTCTAATTTATTTAAATTATTTTCATTTTGATCTGTCCACGAATAAATATATGAATCATTAACACATGTCAATGATAAATTTATAAAATGTAAATTAGAACATTGTCGAATCAGAAACAAATAGGCATCATTATGTTGTATATTTATGCAATTTTCTAGACTAATTGATTCCAATGTTAAATATAAATTATTTCCTATCGTATACAATGTTTGACTTGTTAAATTAATACAACCATCTAAATAAAGATGTTTCAAATCTTTACAATTTGTCGTTATTTTCAATATATCATTGTCAGTTAATGATAATAATTGACTTAAATCTAAATATTCCATATTTGACCAATATTGAAAACAATTTAAGTTATCATCATTTAATTGATGTTTTAATCCGATACATTGTCGTATATTCAAATGTTTTAACGATTTCACATGTTGACTTATGGATGTTAAGCTTGACCAGGTTATATTTACACAAGCATTTAATCTTAAGATGGTCAAAGACGTTGAAAGAATTGTGGAATTATTATTTTGAACAAACAATTGAGTTAAAATTAAGTCGGTTAATGTCTGACAACCACTTAGATCAAGTGAAGAGAACTGATGGTGTGATAGTAAATCAAATGTAATTGGTATGAGATTATTCCAGCTAAGATTTAATGTTTTTATGTTTTTGCATTTGTCAAGTACGATTGGCATGAGAAAATTCGGTGTAAATGGCTCATAATAACAACTTGTGATCGTGATGTCTATCAAATTTGAACTAATAGTCTCGAAAAATTCATTCCATTCAGAAATTCCCACATGATTCGACAAGTCAAAATTATTATTAACTAGACTAAAATAGTGAAAAATTAATTTATATGATTCAGTTCTTCTACACTACTTTAAAGAGTTGCTAAAAGTGTATCTATTTCAACTCGTAGAAAAGTGTTGAGAGAAAAAGAAAAACAATTTACCTGGTTTGCGTTGAGTCTTTTTCTTGTTCAAGATTTTGTTGTCTACACTCAATAAATGCTAATGCCATCGGTTTACGTCTTGCAATAGTATGCAACCACTCTTGTTTAATTATAGATTTTCGATAAAGTATCGTACGATGTTGACATGCTTGATCTTGAACTAATAAATAAAATCTCTTACAAGCAAGAGAAAAATTAGTAAATTCATTTTGATTTAAATACGGCAATACTTTAAACCATAATTCTGTTGGTAATCGATACCATAAACATGAAGAATTTACATTTGAAGTAGTTGTTAGAATAAGTGGTGGAGTCGAGCTTATAGAGATATCCATTTCTGTATTATTAACAGAACTATTTTCGTTGTAGTTACTGATTGTGTCATCAATAGTATTTTTATACAAAACGTTGGGAACAGTTGTTAGTGTTGTTGTAGCTATTGGAATTGCATTAACGCATTCGTGTTTTATGAGTAATTCGTCATCTAACGTATCAAAATTGAGTAATTCAATATTTGCTGGTGGTGGTACACTGTTATTATCGTTCATTCGATCATCTTCATCTTGCTGATGTAATAATAATCGAGCTTCTCTTTGCTCACGTTTTTGTTGTTGGTTTGCCTGATGTGCTTGTTGTAATAAAGCTATTTCATTTGCTAAGTCTTTCGCATAGACAATCGGTACTAATTGAGATTCACTTATATCTGATGCTGTCTCTAATTCATCTAATTCAAGTAACGGCATGTCAATTATCGAATGTTGCTGCTCCTGATTTAACGATACATAATCGTAATTACTATTTGTTACATTATCACTATTATCGTCTACGATACTAGTCAAGTCATTATGATTTGATCGATCATTGTTCAACATAGATGTCATAGATAAATTCATATCAAATCGATAATCTTCGTTTAAGGCATCGACTGTTTGATTCGTATCAATCTCATTAGTATAATTCAAAACATGTTGCTGCTGTTGATGTTCGTCTTGTTTTACGTCAATAATATTATTCTCAGCAACCTCATCAAGTTTCAAGTTTGAATAAATGTTTTGATCGATTGTGACATTCATTTGTTGTGATGTTGTTGTTGTTATCGGAGCTAAAAGTAAATACTTAGAAAGGAATGTTCTCGTTGTTGTCGTCGACGTTGTAAGATCATCCACTGCTGAAATACTCAACTCTGGTGTTGTTTTATTGAGTATTGATTCAGACTGTTCACTACCTTTAATAAAACAAAACATAAAGATACTTTGTGCACACAAAAGGTAGGGAAAATGACAGAAGATGGAAAAAAAACTCTGAGTTAAAATTATAAGAGTTTTCATCAAAAAGTGTCTAAACTCTCGCCTAGATCATAGACAATTGTTCATGAATGATGAAGGAATTCACCTGTTATATTTAATAATTGTGATCGTTCCTGTTGTGTTGGTGGAACATTGAGCGAGAAAAATTGATCAAGTAATGCTGCCGATGATGAACTTTGCAGTAAATCATCATTTTTCTCATCGTTTGTTTCAAACGATGTATAAGAATAATGATTTACTTTTCTCGAATTCTGATCATTTAATTTTGGCAAGGAACGTGGTATACTTCGTTTTGTTTGATTACGTGTAGAATATCTTGACGTTGGCGGTGATGCTGAAATATTTGTAGTTATTGTTATTGACTCACGCGTAGGTGATGAGGATGATTGTCTATGATTTGATGGATATGCAGCAGCACGTAATTCTCGATTTAGGGCAGCAATAGAATTATTTTCTTCATTGTGATCAGTAATATTAACGGCAAATGGAGGAGAAAATTTCAATGGTTCAAATGGAAGATTATGGTTAGTAACTGATAATTGTTGTTGTAAATTTGTTTCTGTCGAACTATTACCCTCATGATAATGAGTAGACGGTAATATTGAACGATTGTGAACGGGAGGTGCTGATGAAATAGTGTTGTCGAAAACTCGCGTAAATTGCGTCAGAGGTGGTACAGGACTATCACTAGAAAATGGACGCTGTGATCCGTCGCTATTATAATGGAATTTATTTTTGTTACTGTAGAGTGATGTTGAATTAAGAAGACTGTTCGTTTGACTGTTGAATGATAATCGCCGTCGATGAAGACCGTCAACTTGGAATTCTTCGTCGTCAAGTGATGGCATTGGCAATTGATGACGAATAGTATTTATTTGGACTAATGGAGCTCGACCTTGAAGGTAAGCTGGTAATCTAAGTGGTTTATTTTGATTATTGCTCTTTAATATATTGTAGCCAGATGACAGTTCGACGTGACGCGAAAATTTTTTGATATCGGGTGATGCACGCGTGAAATAAGAGTCAGTATTCGAAGATGTAGATGATGGCGTAAATAGAGGACGTCGATGATAAGAATTAAAATTATCGTTTAGTGGAGGTTCGGGTGTTGCTACATAATCGGCCTCGTCAAAGTCTTCTGCTTCATGTTCAATACTATCATAAAGTATGTGTTTTTCTGGTGGCGATGATGATCGCGTATAATAGATCGAATCACGCATACGATTACTTAGAAATTTGCCCATTGATGACGATGGTACTACTTTCTCATTTCGCGATAAATAATGATTTGTTGGTTGGACTAAATCGGCATTTCCGAATGAACGATGCTTTTTCTTGATCATTATTTTAGTATTCGTCTCAATACCACGCAAGATAAAATGATTTTGGTTTAGTCAAGCATACTCAAATAATCAATGGTTCTTGCCTTATATTGTTGTTTCTTTCAATTAGCATCTCACTACCGTTCCAATGCCAAATACACATCCAAAAAAAATACAGAGGTTTTTTTATAATAAGATGCAATTGCACAAGCACGAAGTCTTAGAGGTAGTATCGGTTCTTTACTGATGATTTTTGAATTCAGGTTCTGTCATGAGAGGTTAAAATACTGATCGAAATATGCCAGCATTTTCATAGCCGCTTCCATAGTGATTGCTCTGCCAGTTTTCTAACTCACCGCTTAACTTCAGTTCTATTTCAATAGTGTTAGCTCGAATTTTTGCCTCAAATCTACGATCAAGGTTTTCAACAAACAACCCGCTGATAAAAGGAAAGTATTTTTCACAACAATTCTTCTCCTCGTGTACGAAGACGACACAACATCATGATAGCAACGAGCCGTTGCTGGTGTTGTTGATGAGTACTGAGTGTGATGGATTCAACAAAATTGGCTAAAGCCAACCATTCACATTTCCATAGTCAACGAAGGAGGCCAAGTAAATTAAATAATGGAGCATTTTAACAATAATGTATGTATACATATTACCACACCAAAAATTAGTCATTCTTTTTGGACGTTCGAATTGGTTTAGTGAGAAACCTGTTATTTTTGGTGTGAATAATTTGAATATCACCACTCGATCACCATTAAACAGATGACTTACACTGATGAATACCGATTATTACCTGCACGAATGGAAGAGCGCCTCAGAATCAGGGAAGACTTAAACAAATTTTCAATATTCTCGTCAATTATCTAATTATCCGGCTGTTTCGTTGTGAGAATGAATCTATATTGGTTTGTTTTGCTACAAAATAAGACTTTTAGAGAGCACCTTGTTCGATATTCCTATGCAAACTAAAAACTGGTAAAGGGGCTAGTTATAGAAATGCTTTCAACTCCAGATAGAGTCATCTCAGGGACAGAATCATTCACATACACACACTGTAGACGATTAGAGAGGTAAGACGACAAGAGAGAAGGTAAACAAGCACTCATACCTCAACGCGATAATTTTTCCAACAAAAAAGAATGAGAGACAGAGTGAAACGCTTTAGAAAAGTCGAAAGACACACCAGCATTCCAGAAATTAGAAACAGTTAAAGACAAAAATAACAAGGCATCTAAAGTAGAATGTTTAGGACGAAAACCAAATTCTTAGTTACAAAGGAGTGCTTAGAGAGATGCGAAAAAAGAAAATTATAAATTGAACGTTCAAACACCTTAGAAACAACGGAAGCAGAAGAAGGGAAACACGGACGGTAGCTAGGAATATTGGCAAGGGCGCCTTTTTTGTGAATAGGAGTAACGCATACAATTTTTCATAGAGCAGGAAAATTATCAGAAGAAAAGACATATGGGAAATGAAATGCAGGTGAGGTGAAAGAATGTCAGCACACAAAGAGAGGAAGGAAGAGGGGATTCCACCAATACCAACAGTAGACTTTTATCCAACTTCAGGAGTAGATTCTCAACATCCCAGAGAGATCAAGCTGTTTACCCATCGTTGGCAAGTCTGCAGTAGCAGAGGGAGGAATTTGATCCTGAAGGGAAGAAAAATGAGAATTGAAGACTTCGGCTTTGTCCGCATCTCTAGAAGTAGGAGACAATTTCTTGATAGACCTCCAGAACTTGCGAGGATCAGAAAGTAGAAACGGAGATAAGAAGACTTTTCACGGTGATAGAGCGAAAGAACAAGATTCCTTGCTTTACAGAACTCAGCAAGATTAGAAGAAGTATAACGACGTTTAAGTTTCTGATAGCGTCGGTTACGAATAGAAATAAGATGTGCGAGTTTTGGAGAAGGTAAGAGAAAAGAAGACAGTACGAACAGGCACCAGTAGAACAAATCTACGGATAGCGTCGTTTATGTGCTCAGTCCAAATGTGAACAGCCCTATCAACATCGACAGCCGTAAAAAGGCCATTGGGTATGAGAGAAAGAAAACGCCGCTGGGACGCCGTCTGACCACTGAGGACCGTCACAAAAAGCTTAAGTCAAAATTTGGACTTAAGTCTTTGTTATGTGCACTTACGTGCTAAGTTTATACACTTGAGTCGATGACTTAAGTTTTTTCGTGGATTTTTCGTGGGCTTTTCTAAAATTATAACGACAAGAAGTCGACGAAGAATGAGGTTGAACAGGCACATCAAAAGTAGCAGAGAAACAAAAATGAGAAGACAGGGCCGTACCCAGGGGGTGGGCACACAGGGCACGTGTGTCCACCCCCTTAAGATTTCACTACAGTGTATATCTGATAATAATATTCAAAGACTGAAATTTTTATATGGATATTCGGACTAGTAAATATGGAATTTTTTCTAGATGCCCACCCGATACCAAAATTCCGGTTAGGGCCCTGAGAGAAGGGCCAACAGGGGTAAAGGTAGAGAAAGATACATTGTTTCGGGAAGAAGGAAAGAAGATATAGTCAATACACGTGTTAAAAGTAGCAGTAACGGGAAAATCAACAAGGGAACACAAGAAAGATCACGGACTTTGTACATTTCAGAGGACACGAGGAAATTCAAGTTTAAATTAGCACATACCACGAAATGAGAAGAAAGAGAAGAGTATTTACAGATAAAATTGTCAAGAACATCGAGAAAAATACCAACAGAAACAGATTGTGAACGATAACAGCTGAAAACGTGAAAGTTAACCATAGGCGAACGTACAAAAATTAGAAAAGCTTCAGCAGAGTCAAAAATAGCGGTCAGGGAAAACTGGAGAGAGGGGATGTATATACATCTCGTCGATTTCGATTGCACGAACGAGAAAGTAATCCCAAAGATTCAGCTCCTCATCACTGATTGTTAAATCAAGATTCGTCTCGTGAAAAGACAAGATGTCAAAGTCACTGAAAGAAAAAGAAGTTTTGTTTGTAATAAAACCAAAGTTCTTATCTAGACTTTGGATATTGTGCGAAAAAATACGAATTTTGTGAGACGTGTAAAGTCACTTTGTTTAGCTAAAGTCACTTTAGTCGTCGCATCACATCAATATTTATTAGACGATCGATTGGAATGTTTTTGTTGTCGATTGATATTATTGTGATGGTTAATGTTGTTGTTGTATTATTATTGTTATTATTATTGACATTAATTTGAGAACGATTAGGCGAACGACTTCAGTAACTTTTACTAATAATGCTAGATGAATGAGCTTGTTGTTGATTATTCTGTCGTTATCGAGCGTCGTAGACTTGTTGAGATTGTTGCTCAGTCAAATATTTACCAATGTATACATTTTTGACACAATCATCTAATGCGTTTTCGATCGTCGATTCTGTTGCCAAGATCGACGAACGAATAGATAAATCATTGAATGAGACACTCAGAAGTAGCAGCCGCGCGTTATTTATCGTCGACGAAGTTTTAAGTCGCCACACTGAATCAATAGATGAAAGACTAATGTTGACACCAAGATGATCCTCAACAAAATGAGAGACAACTTTTCTATCATTTTTACTTTTGACCGCAGACAAATTCTTGACGATGATATTTCTTCGTCGCTTCTCTCGTTCAAGATTTTCGTTCATTTATCAGGATGATTGGCCAGCTGATCCTGCTTGCAGTGAATGTTTGTCGTTTTGCGTTAGTCGTATCGATTCGAGCGGATAACGCTAGGAAACAACGAGGTGGAAGACGATCAACGGATTTGTCAGTCAAATAGTTTGAACAAAATCAGTGCGAGAATTGTTGTTGGTCTGCAAGTGTTTGATAAGTCCAATATGCCACTGAAGAAACGTCCATGCATGCAATAGGAAACCAATTTTCACATGCATCACATTGTAAACCGTTGTCATCATCATTCATAACAGCCGTACAAGAGCAAAGGGCCGATGATTGTGAGCCATCAAGCTTTGGAGAATCATCCGTTTTGCGTCGCTTACTCACCATGATAACAAGGGAGAAAGATTAGATGAAAAGAAGACGAGGAGAAGAGTAAACAATAATAATAAACAAAAAGACAAACAAAGCCAGCACTATTTCTTTATAATAATTTGAAATATTAGCATGCCGTTCAAATAACTGGCTAAATTATGATTTATTTATAATTAGTCTTTTATTTCGTTTTCTTTCAGAATATAATTGAAAAACAACAATGATTAAAAATAGTCTACAAATTGTTTCTAGAAATGTAACAAATTTAAAACGACGACAATCATTTTATCAGTTACAATCATCTTCTTCGTCCAACGAGGACGATTACGAAGATGATATTGACGACAGTAGCAATACAACTAATAATAATGGAAACGGTGATTTCATCGCAACAACAGTACCAGGTACTAAGAAAAATAGTCGTAGTAAGAAAAAGAAGAAAACTCGTGGACGTGTTAAAATTAAAATGGAATTTATTGAGAATAAAATACGACGTTACACAACATTCAGTAAACGAAAAACAGGAATAATGAAAAAAGCCTATGAATTAGCAACATTAACTGGCACGCAAGTGATGTTACTTGTAGCTAGTGAAACAGGTTAGTTCAATATTTCTTAGATTAGCATAGTTCTAGATGGATGTTTTTCTAGGACATGTCTACACATTTGCCACACGAAAACTACAACCAATGATTACCAGTGAAGCTGGTAAAGCTTTGATACAAACATGTTTAAACAATACATCTGAAGAAGATGAAGATGTTTCCAATGATAATTTGAATCCAACGGATGAAGTGGAGTATGAAGAAGTTGAATTGTTTTATAAAACGCCTCCATCATCGACAAGTACAACATTGGCACATAATGATGTTATTGTTATTGATCAGTCTATTAAAAATCTGTCCAATAAACAAAGCAATGCATCAAACGAAAGTAAGCCAAGGGTTGTAACAGCATCATTCACTACTTTCATTTTACTTCGGTTTATTATCATATTACCATATATTTCAGCTCTAAACATTTTGAAATAAAACTGTAGCTCTTGTTGATTGAGCTAAACTTTTCATTTACAAAGAACAAAAAGCATTCTACTGTCTTTTTTAATCGGTTTATTAATTATTTTCTTTATTTAGTTCTAAATAACAATCGTACTTGTCAACAAAATTCTACAGTAAATATACCTGAATTACAGCAACAACAACAACTACTATCAGAAAGCCCGTCAACTGATTTAGAGGCTACAACATCATCAATAGTTCGAGAACAAAGTCGAAAACGATTTAAAGTCGACGCGTCTGATTCTACACCTAAGAAAATTATTAAAAGTGAAATCATCTCTACAGCAATAACAACGACAGTACAGGATTCATCTTTGCAACCGAATACAATTATAGAATCTTCAATTCAAAAAAATTCTACAGGTGCATTAACAGTTCCATGTTTTATTGTTCAATCACCACAACAGACATCAGCAACGACATCTCCTTATACAATCGATATGAATTTTTTTAAAAGTAATGGTATGAACATTGTTTTTGGTTCTTCATCATCTCCACAATCAAATATCACACCATCATCTAATTTTTCGACTTCTGTTGGAACTCAAACGCTTGATAATTCACAGCAACAATCTGTTATCAGTATACCATTACTACTGACATTAAATAATTTATTACCGACTAGTAATACCACAACATCACATTAGTCAGATTTTATAACATTAATATTTTTGATTCAATTAAATAATAGGATCTCTTACGTTTTTCGACAGTGTATTATTTTTCTAATTGAATAAACATAGTAGTATAAATTTTTTCATTTCTTTTTTTAGAAACATCTTCTGTTTCTGTTTTAACCATTTTGTTTTTCTCACGGTTTTTATTCTTATAAAATCAGTCTATTCTTGACCATTTTTGTGGATTGTAACTAGGTTATTTTTATTTTCAAATTTTTGATGTTATTTATATACGAATTGTTGTTTTTTTGAACAGATATGTTGAAATTTGAATAAAAAACTAATAAGTACAGACATCTTTTATTAAATTTAGCAATACTGAACTAAATATCAATGGAAGATGCATTATTCCTATTCGCTATGCTGAATATCTGTTTCTTATTAGCGATCTCTCACTAACTTCTAGGTACATTGTTCAACTGATCTAATGGTTTTTTGGAGGGCAGAAAATGGTTAATTTATTGTAATTTAGTATAGAAGTGAGGAATTTTATGCATATTAAGAGCATTTTCAAGCAAGATTATTCAGATTGGTTACGGACCATCCTGCGAGCTAATATCATGCTTGTAATTATCTCTTTAGAATATTAAAGACTATCAGAAATTTGATGATCTCGCATTTGATATCTTCTTACCATCTACTTTTTGACATTTTTTCTCTCATCTGCCAAATAAATTTGATTTATTCCCATTCTACAGAAAAAGATAGAGCTATATACTTCTTTTTTTTCTGAGTGAAAAAAACCAGTTTTCAACAATCGAGGGTAGTTTTTATTTTTCATTCATTCGTTCGTGTGCGTTTTTTACCTAATCTGTTTTTATTGAAAATAAAAAAGGTCGAAATAAAAATAAAAGATGAAGAATGTAACACAACAAAAAAACAATTTATATGTTGTGTTACTGATTGAGAGAGACAGAGAATATGACGACTGAGTAAGTAGTATAGACAAATCTGTGAATAGAAAAAAAGCAGCTAAATATTTTCGACAATTATTTGTTTAGTTAACGATTCTTTTTCTTTTGTTTGGTGTAAATGAATTATAGTCACGCATTCTCTATTCGATTTTGATTGTTGCCGTTGTTAGGTCATAAAGTTTCACTGTTATTATAAATTAATGAAACTTGTTTTAGAAATATGTTTTTTCGTTTTTATTCTAATATTGAACAAAATAAGAAGAAAACTTCTATTCTATTATTTGAAATGAGGTGTAAAATTATCATTATTATGTTTTTTCTTACTGATTCACTTCTATTATCAATTAACCTTGTAGCAAATGTTTATCTTTTCTATGGTCTAATGCAATTACAGATACCTCTAACATATTATACAGCTAGTTGATTCTTTTGAGGGGGTGAGAAAAATATGCAACACCCGCTGATAATATGACAGTACAGCCGTCAAGATCAATCTATCGGTACAAAACTCTCTTTTCATAGATAATATTATTGATAATTTTCAGTAAACAATGATCAGTATGAAACAATTTTAACTCTATTTCAATTTAGAATCGTTCTTTTATTTGACTAGTTAGAAGTGTTCAAGAATATGAATTACTACTTTTGTGTTATGAGACATTTGATAAATGTTTTTCTCTTGAATAATAGTTAAATGTATGTAATGTATAAGTGTGTGACACAGAGATTTATTCATCCTATAATGTTTATATCGCAGATGACAAGATATTTTCTGGACATAATAAACAAGGGAAGATAAGATGAAGTCTAATACCGATTAGTGTAATAAAAAGTGTTGAAAAGTGGTTGGCGTGCTGAAATGTGCTCTACCTTATATACACCTTAAGCGAAAATAAGTTATTTTTTATATATTGTTTTAGTTTAGATCTTTTTTTTGCTTATTTCAAATACTATTATTACTAAGATTGGTGGATATATTTGTTTATTTTTTTGAATATCTTCTTTCCTATTATATTCTTATCGTTTTTACTCAAATAAACTTTATTATCACAAGAGAAAACGAAATCGAATTGTGTGTAGGATGTCATCAATTATTATTATTATTATTATGATATAAACACTCATTGGTTTATTGGTACGTGGTTCTCCTCTTTTTTTTCTCAATAAAATCTTCCTCTGCCTCCCCCATCATTCTGCTTCATTAGAATAACGTACATAACAAAGTTCGAAATAGGCAGTGTATAAAAGAAACTTAATTTTTTTCCTTGTCTAAATTATTTGCTTAAATAGGATACGATCAAAACGGACTTGTTTTTTGTTTGTTAAATGTTGATGAAGTTGTCTGATGATTTTTGAGAATAATGAAGATGATACCTATAGAGGTGTGTTTAAAAATAGATTTTTAGAGTATCTAAAAATAAATTTCTTTCATCTCTTCTTCTTTTCATTGATATTTACTTTTTACATTTTTTTAAAACGAAAATATATGTGTACGGTTTTATATCAACGTTACATCTCTTAATAAGATAAAGCAATAGAGAGAATGTGAATATGAACAAGAACAAGATATCTAATGTGTTGTAGTGATTTCTCTTTTTTTTTTTTTTATTACAACTAAAAGATCATATTACAAGAGGCTTTATTTCACATTATTCATTAACACCGAGACAACGTTATTTTGATGAATATTAAAGAATTTGTGAACGAGAGAATTCATCCATCTAAGTCGATAATAATCATCTTACAAATTAACAAATTTAAGTTATAAATGTTAATAACAGTAAGCAATCCACGTTTATTTTTTTCCAATTATTCTTTTAAAAAGTTTGAACACACTATGAAACGATTATGTAATTTTTCTTCTTATTTGTTCATAACTATTGAAGTATTACTGTAAATATTCAATTATTTTTTTATGGCTTATAACTTAAATAGATTTTATTCTCACGTTCAACTTGAAGAAATAAAATGTAAATTTTTAAATTGAGTTTGAAATATTTTTTCTTTTTTATCTTCATTTCATAGAATGGGCAGATTTGAGACAGTTTCTCTCTTTCAACTGGTCATATACTTTTCTTGCTTGTTTTTATTTAAAAAGTTCAACATCTTTTCGATCAAAATATTTCTTATTGTTAATTTTTTTTTTTGTTTTTTATTTAAAATTGATGATACAAAGGCTAGAAGGTTAATTTGACAAATGAATTAAGAGAAACACTCTACAATTAATCACACCGATGTTAAAGAGAATATAATAGAAAATTTGTTTGCTTTTTTCATAAGAATAAATCGTTTATATTTTTTATTGTTGTTTTTTTTCGATTTTCAGATTATCTTCTTATCTTACAATAATGACCAAATAATTGTACTTGGTAAAACAACGTGCATCAACGACAAACATAAAATTTATTCTTTAATACAAAAAAAATGTGAACATTAACTTATATACTGAACATTTAATTTAATTACATTAATCTACAAAAAATGTATTCAGATGCAACATTACCTGCCTATGTTGATATTTCATTTCGACAAAGTGTGCTGAAAATACCGTCCGAAAGAACTGCACAGGTAAAATCAATTATTCTTTTACACTTTTGTTTTTTGTAAATACATAAATGAATCTAATGATATTTCATTTAAAAAAAGCCGTAGTTACTTTATAATCAAACATATCGAGAAATATTCTGTGGAATTTCAATGCAATCTTTAAAAAAATCTGTCTTAAAATAAGATGAATCAAAAAGTCTTATTTTAAGATGGTTAGAACTAACTTATATCGTTTTATTTTCATAAGCACTTTAATTTTTAAAGACAGTCCTGCTCAACAGAAGACAACACTCTGACAGTACACTAAATAATCATCATATTAATGATCTCTGTAAGAAATTAAAGTAAATTGACAACTTTTCTTCTGAAAGAATCGTTATATTGAACGCGAACAAAAAAAGTCAATTATAGAAGTAAGACGGGTGAATACTTACGAGAAATTAACGTCTTGAAGGAAGACGGACATAATAGAAAGACGATTAGCATAAGTTGGATTACTTTTTAGAATATATTTCATGAATTAAGAGTTAAATGATGAGGTTTTCTTATTGTCTGATGCATTGTTGATTATTTATTGCAAAATATAGTAGTTTCTTTTTTAAAATGTCTTTAAATAGCATAATTATAAGATAAGATGTGGTTCATTGGTGAAACGTTGAAGTTTCTACTTTCTATGTAAAAAACAAATGGTTATACGGTCAACGATTTGGGAGTATTTGCTGAGCTCACAGGATATCTACTTGATCCTATTTCATTTCTGATAGTGAATCTTTATAAAGAGTGATCTAGAAAACAAAGACACAGTGAAAATTGTGAGATAAAGATTCAGAAGGGAAAAGAAAACGACTACTCATTCTTTGTGCATGTCAAGTGAGTTTATTTTAATTGATTGAAGATACATCTGTGTAAAGTAATCTGAAACTGGTCTTTATCACTATCAGATCTACATCTATTACTTTTGACAAAATACATATGGTTAAAGCAATCATAAGACGCTTTAAGTTAACTTGAAACAGACTGTATATCTGTTAGATTATTTATGAGTAAATATCAGTCAAAAATACAGAATTATTTTGTGATCTGTTATCTTCGCAATTGAGCAATGTCTTTTAATACTAAAAAACAAAAGTCAATTACCAGAAATAGTGTAATATATAATGATATAGTTAACTACACTATAATCGCATAAAACGTGACTTTTTCCTCTATTTTTATGAGAAAATATTCAACTAGCAAGAATGAGTTCAGTTTAGGTCTGTTTTACTTACATGATTCTATTAAAGAAAGAACCAATTATCCTTGCTAAGATAAGTATATCTTTATCTTAATTTGAACCATTGAGCTTTGATTATTATATTAAATTAGTTGTTTAACCTTATTTCTTTCAACGTTAAAGCATTTTTATTTTTTGAATGATGTAACAACAACACCAAAAATATATCAAGTGTTCATACTCAATTCCATTCTATACTCTTTTTTTTTGTTCTAACCTGATGAAAATGTACATAGTATAATTGTTGTAATAGTAGTGTATATGAATTACCGTTTTTTCTTTCTTTTTTCTCCTGTCATGATTATTATCATTACGTAATTTGTACAAATAATACAATATGAATGTTCTTAGAAAGAGAACTTCGAGATGCCTAAAGAAAAATCGACATTTGATTTTCTGTAAAAAAAAAAAGAATACCATTAGACAAATTTATAATAAGATTGTATCTTATTTTTTTAATATCATACTAACTTTTAGATTTTACATTACATCTCATGACATAAAGAGACGATGTATACAAAAATTAAGTTATTTCAATATAAATTTATCTTTTTATCTGAGAGAAACTAATGAGAATATACAATATTTTTATCAGTTAAAATAGAAGATTTCAATTTTTTGCTAGAAAGTAAGAGTAGAAAACACTGTTCATAGTTAATGTAACAGAAATAATGTTTTCAGCAAATATGAGAACTATCAGATAAATGACAAAAATTTTTTTATTGACTCGATACATAAATAGTAATATAATCATTTTAAACTATCTTTCAGTGAGATAATTAAATTCTTCATCATCAACAAATAGACTTTTCTATCATCATTTATCAAATATATTTAGATTTAGATGTTAAAACGTAGTTGTCGAGACATCGCTGTTGAAGATGGAATTGTTCGATTGTATATTACACATTCGAGAAGAATTCGTTTGTGTCTTACATACGACAATTTTATTAAGATTTTGCTAATAATGTTATCACAAACTGAGTTAAGACAGTGGGATGTCAGATGTTTGTTATTGTTGATGATTATATTTTTTCTTTTCCTCTTCCATTCTAACAAATTAGGTTCTCTCTTTTATTTTATTTTTTAAGCATGTGTGAATGAGACGATTAATGATCTTTCAACAATAAAAAAGAAATTTTTTTGACGCGAAAAATACGACCATTCTATTAGTAAAAGTAGAATATGTACAAACTGAAAATAGTTTTTATGTTAAAAGTTGATGGAACACCTTTGCCTTTTCCGTTCTCTTTCTTTTTTTCTGTACGACTTCTACTCTGTTATTAGCTCTCAATGATGGATGAATACACTGTACCATATAGTTAATTGTACGTATGAGAGTGAGCTTATATGAAAAGAAGTAGAAGAAAAGAAAAAGAAAACTATACCATTTCTTTTTGTAGATATATACGTTAAGGGTTATATTCTTTTAAACTTTATACAGACATATAAAAGTTCAATTTTTTTTTTTTTTTTTTTTTTTTAACTAAAGAGAATTGACCATAAGAGGAAGAAAAAGAAAAAAAGTCACTTTTATACTGCGCGAGAAAAGTGTTGTACATGATGTCCATAACGAACGAATGAGTCGAAGGTTTCTTTTCTTTTCAATTATTTTATGCTTGAAATATTTTAAACAGGAAAAGAATCTTTTTATGTATGATTCATAAAATTGACTATGTTTCCGTGATCACCATTGTTAACTTAACAGAAAAGAAGATTAGTAAACTTACTTTTTTCTTGAACAATGTTTGAACATAGATAAAATAAAAATTTTTAGTTTAAGGTATGTACACAATTGAAAAACAATAGTATATCGTTAGATAATTCAATCGACCGTAACATGACTTGTATTGATTCATTTTTATTTTGTATTTCTGAAACTAGAAATGAAGGATATATTGATATATTTAGCCTACATAGAATCATTTGATTGACTACTTATTTCTTTTTGTTTATTTTTATATTTTAGGATTTGACAATAATCAACGGTTATCTAAAGCATCTTGAAGCATTATCATCATTAAGCGAATCACATAAAAGAAATTTGAGCAAAACTGTGCGATATGAATTACATGAAGCCAATCGCGTATTATTCAGGTAATAATCATGTGTTTATTTTTTTTCTTCTCGTTACTGTTCTTTTCTCAAGAAGTGACGTTTGTTATCACTTAATATTTTATTTTGTACATGAATAGACTTACGGTAAGATTCTTTTTGGTTGAAAGAGAAGATACATGTTGAATTGTAAAGAAATGTCGGTAACAGCGGAAGTATTTCGATTAGAGTTTAAATCACCCATAGATACGTCTAGACGTTGAAATTTGGATGAGTGGCACTAAATTTGTATAACAATCATTATTTACTCTTGGGGCTAATCTTTTTCCTAGAAAATGTGAATCATACCACATAATCCGCTATATTTATTGTATATATTAAACTGTTCCATGTAATAATCACTTAACATTTCATGTTATTGTGATTGTCTTGTTTAACTCTTGTACGAACTTTAAGATTAAATATAAATAAATATTGAACGGGATGTATATTTGTTATGTCTACTACATATTTTTCTATCAAGTTGTATCATTATGCTATGTAATCAACGATTCATAAACAGACCAGTTATAGTCGAAGAGTAGAGAGAAGGGAAAGTAAAAGAAGAAGAAAAAAAATTAGATCAATGTCGATTCTCTATTCTATGATGTTGATGATGATGATGAAGATGATATACATGTCAAAAATAGATGAACACTATTGATAGAAAAGATCTTGATGATATATCGATATTCTTTCGTACATAATATACATTCATATATAAGATAAATTATAATGTTACATCTTTTTTTCTTGAACATAAGAAAAATAATTATTATTTTCACATGTTTGAATGCAAGTTTAGAAGAAAAATAAATATCTTCTCTTGTTCAGTAAAAGTATTATAGTAGACACATTATTGTTTGACATGTACATAAATGTGTCTTTCTTATTGGATAGTTTCATGTCAAGTATAATTCGATTTAGAAAAATGTTATATACGTATCTAGTGAATAATTTATCGAGTTTTGATTTGAGTTAATAAACGTAAAATATTAATTAAGGTTCAATTTTTTATTATTATTTTTTTTTTTAAAAAATTTTTTTTTTCTAAGCGTCAATTTTCTATCATATTTTAAAAAAAATAGTTCCTATGTAGTAAATTACTTTTAACCCATTTTATCTGCATTTTAACTACGAATGAATTCTTACATGTTAATAAAAATAGTTAGTTAATGCGTGTTAGGAAAAAATTATTGTAAATTACTCGCATTAGTATGTAACGTACAACACATTTTATCATGCAAAATAAATTTTACCTCTTTTGCACGTGTTAAATTGATCCTCACACATAATTTTAACGAATAAATAACAATGGGACAAATCAAGAATTACTAACACCTTTGAATTTGATTTACTTCGATTTTCGATTCTTATATTTCCAATTGTTCTCTTCAATTAAATGTACTAAAATATTTTTTGTTAATGAATTCGAATTCATCGAAAAAATGTATTTTGGAATGTGCTACTATACATGTTTTAATGTGCCTAATATTTGATTGTCGCATGTTTAATGGCATGATTTATAATATGTTTTGAGTTTAGGTACGTGTGTGTGTGTAATGTGCAAAATTGAACACCATTCAATGATATTGTTTGAATATGTTGTACTTCGAGAGACACTTCTAATTGTTTTTCTCTTCCTAATTTAGAAGTAGCTAGTCTTTCATGATGGAATTAGAAACAGTATCAAACAGAATATTTTTGACAGATTTAAAGAATCTCTATCTGAAAAAATACTCAACTGCAAACGTGCTCATGTTTTCGAAAATAATACGTTAATTTATTCAAATTTTTGACTCGTTAATGCGTTCTAACATGTTCCATTAGATGGATCATTTGAGCCTAAGAGCATCGATCGACTACAATTTAAAAGTGCATTCAAGAATACACACAAGAAATGTTGAATTTAGTCCTTTTTTATCAGTTTGTCATAAAATATGCCCTTTTGACATCTAACATTAGTGCCAATCGAAAGCCTCCACTATATATTACAGTATTTCACAGATTCAACTTTGTATACAATTTGAATATATACATTCGTTTTTACTACTTTTACTCAATATTTCAATTATTTTTAATTTAATTGATAATTTTTGTGAAAGGTAAGTTATTTTTGTTATTAATGGATATTTTGTTTGACGAATACTAAAATCATATTGAGTCTTACATACCTTTCCGTAATTGAAATATACATTTGAATCGTTTCGTTTTTTGATAATACGGTGAGTACATTCTATAAAGAATAGTAGAGTTATAAACACCGATTTAAACATTGTTTATTGGAGACGTTTCGTGAAACACTTTTCACATCATCAGCATTTTGACTGATGATGTGAAAGGTGTTTTACGAAACGTCTCCAATAGGCATGCAACAGGTTTTTTCTCGTATTTTTCATAAAATGGTTTGTATTTTCGCAACAATGAACTGTGAAATTTTCTGAAATCAACAGTTTTGTAGAGCAAACATTTCTCTACAAGATGGCATATAGTAAATATTTTTAAACTTGTTTGGTTCTTCAAAAAACGTTTTTGATAGAATAACCCAGCAGTTAAAATTGTGGTAAAAAACTGTTGCATGCCTAGTCTCAAATAAACAATGTTTAAATCGGTGTCTATAACACTACTATTCTTTATGAAACATACATTACTTCCCGTAGCAAATGTATCAACGTTGGGCAAGTGTTTATTGTTTTATTGTTCAACAGCTCGATCATTATATCCTTGTATAATTCTATTAGTATTTGAATGAATTTGTATTGTTCATCCATTATAATTTATCAGTGAATTCTAATTTTTAATTTTAAATTTTTTTATATCGTAAATGTAATCGTGTCAAACTTTCTCACAATATTTGTCAGTATAATCTTGTCATCTTTTCATTTCTGATCAATATTAAGTTTCACATCATCTATTTCATTAGTTGAAATTTCTACTTTTTATACACACTTTTAACTGTTTCAATGACATTATACAGGCGTTTTTTATGTTCATTGTTATTTCAATCCTTGTGAGACATTTTTTAAACATCCGTATAAACAAACTTTTCTAGATGTCGATTTCAAGACTTTCGACTTTTCTCTATCAACTCTTGAATAGAACATTCTAATAGAATGCTGAGAGGTGAGGGGAGGAGGGAGGGGACGAGAGAAGGAAAGTATAGAAAATGTTAAAAATTGTTAAAGTATTTCACTCATCTGTTAGATTCCATCCAAACTAAATTTATTGACACTTAACTATAGTATTTGACTATTTACGATAAAAAGTAGGTACATGTTTGCTATTTATGAAATCATGATGATCACACCTTATTTTTAACTTTGAACGAAAATTTTTTTGTGTTCTTTTTGTTATATCTCTATCTACTGTTATCACAACAGGATATCTAGATCAAACAAACTAATCGAGTATTAAATTGATATAATCTTTTGTTTTCTCTTGTTCTCTTATATGTATTATGTCGATATGTGTGATGATTAATGAGTAGCAGTATCAATTTATTCATATTCTCATGCGTTCACAATTTAGTAAATTGTTTAAGAATTCTAAAACGAAGAAAAACAATCATATATGTTCAATAGAGAGAGAGAGAAAAGAACACTTTAAAAAGTAAAAACGTATCACTGGAGGGCGTCAAATTTATTTATACTTTTTTTAAACAAAAGAAATTTCCCCCCACCCCTTTTTTTTTTTCTTCTTTACTTCAATATCGTAACCTATTGACCCTCTCAGCTGACAATTGTAAAATTGGATTAACAGTATATTTGTTTTCTGAGAGAAAAAGAAGTTCTATTTATGTATCAATACTGTGTCGAGTATAAGTATTGTTGTCTCTCATTGTACAGGAATAAAGTGTTATTTATCTAAAATGAAAGTAAGTTGTAAGACTAAAAGGTATGTATATAATCGATAGATGGAAAGAGAGAAAGAAAGAGGAAGCCTTTTTATTATTATTTTGTACACGATTGATTGATACACACGTTCTGTACATACTAAAAAAAAAAAAAAAAAAAACTATATTCATAGTATATATATATATATACACCTTATTTCAAGTATATTCTCCTCAATCTTAGAATATCACGTTTACACAACGAGAGATGAAGAAAATAAATATGATCAAGTCATTTTTATCCATGTAAAATAATTGAAATTCTACACATATCTTATTCAAAAATCTTATTAATTCTATCATATATTACTATTATCATTCGTTTCAAACATAAGAGCGAACAGATGCTAAATTTTGATGAGTAAAGTGTTCTAAGTTCTCCTTGACGAAAGAGTCTACATGGTATTTAACTAAAATAGTTGGAACAACAAAATTTATCGTTGTTTTTTTATTTATTCTAGTCGTGGACAAGTGAATACATGTTGGTATATTTTACTATCGGGTTCAGTATTTATTGATTCAACAATGTTCTTACCACGTTCAAGGTAATATTTCCATTATTTTCTCAAAATAAAATTATCTCTATTTATTTGTGAGAAAACAATCTTTTGTTTTTTTCTTTGCTATTAAGGTCTCTCTCTCTTTTTTTTTGTCCTTTTTTTTCGCTTCGTTATAATTTATTCAAACTTTTGTTTCATTTATTGTCTAAATCTGTATCATCCATCTAAGAGATAGAAAACGACAACTTTTCTCACAATGAACAAAAACAAATTATAATAATTTTAAATCGCGAAGGTTATGCGTGGTGAGAAAAAGATTAAGTAAATATTGGCAAGATTTTTAATGTTTAAAAAAAAAATATGAGCATTGAAACAATTTGAAAAACTTTTCTGATTGCATTTATTTTGTTCTATTTTACACAAAATATTTTCTATCGGCTAAACATCGATTAAAATACGCCTGACAAAAATATCATTATCAGCATAGGTTTCATCGTCAGAATTATAAACAAATATTATCTACATTTTTACACATTTTACTTGACTACATAAAAAAAGAAACAGAACAGTTGTTTTCATCAGTATTGCCTTCACCTTATACTAGAAGAAAGAACATGTAATTCCGTTCAATATCCTCTTTTAAATGATCTATAATTCTTCATTCTAATATAATAAACATCTTTTATGTAGTCATCGAAAGAAGAAAATAAGACAAGTTTCTTTTTTCATTCTTATCATATTGTCAAGATTTTTCACATATTTTTACTACTACTACTACTACTACTACTACACTAATTTTGGGCTCGAATGAATAACATCTATCATATAATAAAATGATTAATAATAATAATAGTAATTCTACGTACGACTAGCGAACTCAACCATGATCTTGGGTATTCAGTTTTTTCTATTCTTTTTACTCCAAAAATTATGAAGAATAAGAACACAGTCATTTGATTTTCTTCTTCTTCTCTCTCTCTCTCTCTCTCTCTCTCTCTCTCTCTCTCTCTCTCTTCCCTCTCCGTTATACAACAAATTTTCGTATTGTTTTTTTTTCCTATATTTATTTGTTAACCTTGTTCGTTCGTTTTTTCTTCTATACCTATCATTAATATCCTTGAATATATACAATGAAACATTTATTTCGATGAGCACATAGAATACAAACACACACACACACACACATACATACATAATGATGACATTATCGTTTTCTTTTTCTGGTTCAGCTTTGGTAAAAGAACGCCTGGTAATCCGTTTCGTTTACACGATTGTTTAGTATTAGAATCTTCAGAAATGCTTGTCGTAAGTGATAAACCAATTGATATATGAAAATAAACTATATTTTTAAAAACAATTTCTATTTTCATTTTTCAAGATTGATTATCCAGATGTTGATCAACATTTAAAAAAATATGATTCAATATTAAAAACAAAACACCAACATTCATTTTGTGATAATCACAACGATAATAATCAGTCTCTTGATCATCCATCACAATGTTATCCAGTCGAACCACAATCACCGTCAGTAGATTCTTGTCAATCTGTTCCCGTTACTCTTAATCGACGAAAAAGTACAAGAACACGTCAGGTAATAAATATTGTGTTTTAGTTTGATTAAATTTATCCATTTCTCAATAGAACAATTTATTATTGTTCATTTCTTTTGTATAATACACTTGAGAAACAAAAAATAGAATATAACAAGTATTTCCGTTTCTTTTTCTTTCTCTTTATTTTTTTGCTTCTCATCGAATGATTAACATTTGTTGTTGTTTTTTTTGTTATTTAGCGATCAGATACAGAACAACATATTGGAAAAATTACAAATGAAATTGATACGACTACTATTGTTCATTCGACAACAACAATGATGACTCATTCTCGTGCAAGTGATACATCAAGTGCCTATTCTGGATCGGATGTTATGCAATTATCAACGACTGGTGAAGATATCATTGATAATGGAGATGAAATACCTGGTTGTTTGAGTGTGAATGAAACCGATGATGAATCAGAAGCATCATCCGAAGTAAAAACAAGTGATTTTGAATCAATTTTTATTTGATCTATTATTTTCATTATTTTTTAGCGTTCATTTCCTGTTCATGATCATGTACGTGAATCATTGATGAAAGAAGCAAATGAACGAACAGAAGATGATATTGAAGCAATTTTAGAATTTTTACAACCTTTTCCTGTAAGTCATACTGATATGAGTTTTGATTCAATTTTATACTTATATTGAATATTATATTTAGGCATTTCTTGATCTGTCACTACACGTTCGTCGAGAATTATGTAAAGTATTGATATATGCTCAAGTTGAAAAAGCCAATACCGTTGTTATGAATGATGGTGAACGATATGATTCTTGGAGTGTGATTATTAATGGTATTGTGGATGATGAAACGACTGATGGACAAATAATACGAACATTAAATGTTGGACAATGGTAAAAAAACAAATATACTGACGAATTATATAACATTCAAAGAGATCTTATTTTATTTAGTTTTGGTTGTGAAGCGACATTAGATCAATATTGTCATACAGGTATTATGAAAACAAGAGTAGACGATTGTCAATTTGTTGTTGTTGCTCAAAATGATTATTATGGAATACTACATCAGGTAAAAATTTGTCATGAATATAATTTAGTTAGAGAGAATAATTGATTCATTATTATTTTTATAGGGAGAAAAAAATATACGAAAAATTAAAGAAGATGGAAAACTTGTTATGATTAAAGAATTGAGAACATGTGAAGATACGTGTGTATCACGAGAAGTTGTTATCAAGGTATTATCTCTATAATACACAATTTTCTGTTATGATACAATTATTTTTTACTTCTTATTGTTTCAGGGTACTACTGATAAGTTATTAGATTTATTAGTCGATGAGAAATTAATAACAGATGATCCAAATTATGTTGATGATTTTTTACTTGCTTATCGTACATTTATCCATGATCCCAGTCTAATTACAAACAAATTACTCGAATGGTTTGAATTAAGTCAACATAGAGAAAAGGTAAGGTCATTTTCGAAGAGAAAATTAATGTTTCACTCATTATTTTTCTTTCTTTCTGTCTTATTTAGGTTGCACGAATTGTTTTATCTTGGGTGAATAATCATTTTAATGATTTTGAATCAAATCCAAAATTGAGTGAATTTCTTGAAATATTCGATGAACGTTTACAACATTATGAATCAGAAGTATGTTTCATATTTTTTTTTACAGACAAATATGATGATATATTTCTCCTATAGTGCATGTATTCTTGGCGTCAATTACTTAATCTTGCGTGCTATACAAAAGCGAGTATTCGTACAATTACGTTGACACGATCAACACGTGATGATATATTAAATTTTCAAATTTTGGGTGGTACTGAACAGTCAAATAATGGAATTTATATATCAAAAGTGGAAAAAAATTCCAAACCATGTGATGCGGGGCTTCGTAGAGGAGATCAAGTAAGTACCACTAATTTTCTCATCTCTTTTATTGTTAATGTTTAAATTACATTTATTTTAAGATATTAAGTGTTAATGGACAAAGTTTTGATTATATAACACATGTTCGTGCCCTAGAAATACTTCGTAGTTCAACACATCTTTCATTAACAGTAAAAAATAATCTTATGGGTATATGAACTATCTTTCGATAATGAAATAATAGCTTTAATATTAACAAATTTCTGTTTAGGCCTTCACGAGATTGTCAATCCAGAAAAATCTCCTGGTAGAAAAAAACGACACGATATTAGTTTATATGAACAAGAGATACGCACAAAATTACAACAATCACCACCCGTTCGTTCTGCATCCATCCCTCTAACATCATCATCACCATTATTGCCACCGAACAGTCCAAATCAACACTATCATACACAACAACAATTCGATAATGATGAAACAATAATTAAATTACCTACCACAACTATAACACCTATTAAAATTACGCATCATGATAAAAAACCAAAACCATTAGCAAAACGAATGGGGTTTAAACGAGCATTGCAAAGATTTAAAATAAGTCGACATAACAAGTATGTATGACATATTTTTTATGCTTATGTGTGCATGCTTTACCACAACTATTTGCATCAGAAAAAAAGATAAAGCGAGAGAATACGGCTGTTTTTGATAAGTAAACGAGTTAACTTATCAATGATAACTGAGGTTATGACGTTTGTAAAAGAGAAAAATACATAGTTTTCTTTCTTCATACAAAAATCTTTATTGCATAATATAGAGTAAAACACTGGGAAAAAAATAAGAAGTAACAGCAGCGATAGAACAAAACAGAAAAATATGTACAACACGTGGAATGAAGTATTATTATTTTTTCTCTATAAATTATGGCATTGATATATGACCTATTCTCCTTAATTTGCTCCATCTCATAAACCAAATATACAAGCCAATAAATGAATTAATAGCTAACATAACCCATACGAGTAATACATTAATCTCAAGTTTTGTTTGGAATAAACCTGAAATGAAATGATGTCGAGATTGAAAGTTGAAAGTAACTTAGATAATGTTTACATACCACTGTACATAACAATTGCCATTAGATTTACTGCTAGCCAGTAGACGTATTGTTCCCAATAGCAAAATATTAGTAAGAATTGTGCAACTACACTCAGCGCATTTGTTGTCGCATCTAATATATGTGGTACGAGCACTGTTTGATGATAATATGGAAGGGTCAATAAGTTAGAAAATGCTGGTATTTCATAATAAAATAGCACTGCTAATCCAATACTAATTATCAGAACGACTAACCATGGTATTGGCGATAAACTTCTAACACGTGTTGTTGAGGATGAATCTAACTCTTTTGACCACATATAAATGCCAATAAATTGCATAGGTAAAAAGAATATGAAATATAATTGTGCATCACCAATATAACCATAGGCAAATGAGTAGATTCCATATAATATAGCCGCAATGATACCCCATAAATACGATGATAATTTACCTTTAATAACTAGTACAACATTGACAACATTTGTAAAAGAAGCTATACCACTAAAACAAAGTAATATACGTCTCCATAATGGAACACGATCATTTAAATCATTCATCCATTTGAAAATAGATCGTTGTCGTTGCCGTTGTTGAAAAAATGAATTAAAATCCTACAAAAATAAAAGTATAACTTGAATAGAAAGAAGATGGTAATTGAAAAGTTAATATTACCAGTATAGAAAATATCACATTAAATGTAGCAAATAAAAGTAATAAAATAATTTGCCATAATTTAAATGATTTAATATCTGGTATTGTTGATTTTATAACTAATTTCAGTATTGAACAATATTCATGGCAAAAGTTTTTTAATGGTTTTCGTTTGTTTGGTGATCGTAAGGGTATTGATATTAAAATAACATCACACACTATTGTATTGTCACGTTTTAATCTCTTTTCATTAACATCATCTGTGTCCTCTTTATCGGTGTCAATAATACCAACTAATGACTCACCACTTGTGTCGATTATTGAACCGCTATTGGTTCCACTAGTATTGGTTAATTCTGATGTGACAGTACTCATATAATGTTACATCATTAAATCATTAATATTCGCAAACAACGATGAAAAAAGTAAGCATAAATACACAATAAATCACATTTTACATTTGAACGTTAATTGACTGAGATAATAATTTATTAAACAAATGTGTGTTCAAAAACAGCATGTATTCTTCTCAATGAAAAATAGTAAAAGCAAGAGTAGAAAAAAGAAGAAGAAGAAAACACATGGATCACAACAATAGCAGAACTAGAAAAAAAAAACAAGTTGAATGATAAAAAAAATGAAGAAACTCGTGCAAGCATGATGTACAAAAGGAAAGATATTATTGTTAAAGAAAAAAGAAAGGAAGAGCCAACATTTCATGACTTAAACTGAGAATATTACCGCAATGACAGACAATATAATAATGGAGAATGAAAACTGTTAATTAAGTTTCATGTTCATGAAAATATGGAAAACATCCACGATGAATTTTCATTCGGAACAATATATTCTCATTGACTACTGCCTAAGCTACCTTATCTTTACACGATTTTAGAAAAATCTTTTTTCAGCATCTGTCTATGCACAACAAATAATAAAAGAAATAGTGTAGGGTTAACTTATTTAGATATCTAAAATGTAATAAACCCTTTTATATCTCAACCTATTGAAATACATATCAGTATATAGTAATGTACTTGGATACTCTCAGAACTCTTTTTTTTATTTCATTTTTTCTTAAGTTAATTCATATGGTATTACTTTTTTTTGCATTTTTATATTTGAATTGGTCCTAACATTGTTCATAGTCATTTTGAGTAACAAAAAACACAAAATAGCTGTTTTAAGATATAGCTGATCAAATACTTTTACTACTGGTAATTGTTTAGTCTGTTTACTCTCAATTTCTACTATTGATTTTTAGACAAATTCTGCTCAATGATATTGAGAGTTTCAAGCCAACCATAGAGAGACTATACAAATGATAGATGCGTGATTGCATATAGTTAGTTCTTAGTAAAAATACATCCTTGAAACAATACTTTTCTCGCGTCATAAGCGGATCCAAGTGACAGATGTTTGTCTGACAAATCAAAAATCATTTATTCTATCTATCATATGATTTCATTTCTTCATCTATTTTATTTTTAGATCGATGAGGTAAGCTATGTTAGTATAATTGTGAATATTTTGTGTTAGCAGCTTCCGTTTCACATGCTTCATATCTTTTCTCGTGAACGTAATTCCAGATATCCCTTCGTCACTCAAACATTCTATTTATATTTGTCATGTTTGTGTAGTCTTTTTTGATAAAAGAAATATATTTGCACAAATCGCACTTTATTATACTGAAGTTAAAATATTTAGTAATATTGCTGACTCGTATTTGGAATGGATTTTATGGCAAAATTCTGTACATTCGCTTATTTCAAATATGCTTATGATTACTCATTTATCTTTTCTCTAAGCGTGCGTGTCCTAATATGCGTGTTCGCGCTTTCTATATGCACTATTTTACATAATCAGCAATGCATTTGAAAAAATACTTCTAGTGCTTTTTTTTTGATAAATATGTCATGAAATAGAAAATTAATGTGCAGTAAAATTGAAAATCAAGTGATTTTAGATTTATTTTTATTTAAATATCACAACATTTTTTCCCTACTGTTATTTTCAACTTTATCAAACATAGACGAATCATCCATTTATCTTGTCTATTCTGCAAATGTTTAAAAAAGTCCTTTTTATATCCTCTTCTTCCTACTCTATAGTAGAAAAGACGATTTTCGTCAATAACAATCGATTTTCAAAAATAAACGCATGATATGGCAGTCCAAAGTCTATCGGTTCCATTGTTTTTCTTGCCTCTAAGAGCAGATTTTCTAGCAAGTTTTCCGAAAATCTTACGAGGAAAAAGCGTTTTTCTTACTTATAACAAGCATGTCCACTTAGGTAGAAGTATATGCGGCACACGCGTACGCACTGAAATCAGCATAGTCGAAAACTTAGCATAGGTTTTAATCAAAGTTTTTAGCAAACTCCTTGAAACGAACCTAATTTTTATTACTAAAAATACACTTTGAGTTTTACTCAGAATTCACTGTTTCTCAAGTTTAAAGGTCCTAGGTTTTTCGCTGAACTGAAATAACATAGAACTCGAGAATGTCTTGACCAAGACATGAGTGTTTCGCCCCTTTTAAGATCAATCTGAGCTCATCAGCGTGGTTTTGATGAGGAAATCTCGGAATGTCGAAATGCCGCATCTCGACGTGCATTTGAGCGACATAACGTTGACCGATGAGGCCTCAAAAATTCGTCTGTACCGCTTTAAACCCGTCCGTCATTTCTTGAAAGTTCATTCAAATCAGGCTTGTAGTTAGTGGAATCGTTTTCTAACACGGTAGGAACCTTAAATCATATTGAAACGTAAGCATTTTCCTTTCCATCAGTATTTTGAATCTCTTTATTTAATAAAAGAAAACAATATTTCTTTGTTTTTGAACTAAATTTTATTTTTCAAAGGGCTCAAACCGTCTAATTATCAACCGGATATCACAGCTAAAATCGAAATATCTTTCGAATCTGTTAAAAATGTTTTTAATCACGTTTATCCACTATTTTTATTCGTTTATTAGTGTGATAAATAGATTGAGGAACGATGATATAACTGCAAGCATGCCAAAAATTAAAGGTCAAGATTACGAATACGTGATTAATAATAGTTTTCTTGTAATAATGTAAGGTGTAATAATTTTTTTGATATATCATAGATAACACTCACTAAATATGCAGTATATATCAATTGATATCAGCTTTCTTATGATGCCCTTCAGATAGAAGTTGTTCTCTTCTTACTTAATGATGTAAATATTATTCAATTTAGATTGAACAGTTTCTTATATGAAAAAAAAAGTGCTAGTTTTCTCTTTCGATACAATAATATTTCTCTCATAACAAAGGTCACAATGAAAATCATTCATTCTTTTAGAATAGTATCCAAACAAGATTCACCGTACTCACCATGAATTATGATGTTTCTTTTTGACAAAATGAGTCTAACAAGGGAGGTCCACCAACTGCCCAATCGCTTTTGGGACGAAACTTAGTGGGTGATAGGTAATCGACCATGCTGATCCCGAATATCGACATGAGACGGGCAGTTAGGCTTCCAGAGACCCGTTTTCTGGAAAAGCAGTTTTTCAGAAACTCTAAAAAATAACCAAAACCTTTCTTAATGAGGCATAATTGTGGCCCGCACATTTCTGATTAAATTGAGATATCTTCCAGCTCTACATGACTTTTCTTTGCAAAGTTTCTGAAAAACAGCTTTTCCAGAAAACAGGTCTCTGGAATCCTAACTGCCCGTCTCATGCCGATATTCGGAATCAGCATTATCGATTACCTATCACCCACTAGATTTCGTCCCAAAATCGATTGGACAGTTGGTGGACCTCCCTCGTAAGAATAACAATAAATTAGATAAATGTCAGAATCGTTTCAATCTTCAAATTCTTTGCACAAAATACGAAGAAATAGTTAAAGAGTAAAGTGCATATGATTCTGCGAGGAGGAACCAATCTATTTTTCATATTAGAGTTAATAATTTAAGAACCAGATTGATGGTTCTATCTACACTGTTATATCTTCTCTTTGTTTTGCACTGTGCACATACTGAATGTTGATTGTTAGAGGATCACGCTCATGGTAATCATTTTCTTAATGTCTCAATATTTTCTTTTTATTCCATGTCATCGCAGATGTGTTTTCAAATAACTCAGTATATGTGTTAAAATATCTTGTGATAGCGCCATAAACTTTCTAATTGAGAGTGATAAATTTCAGAGTAAACATCGCTTTTCTATCGTTAATTCTTCTTCTTAACAATAACTACGTGTCATCATGTTTATAATATTTTATTTATTTTTAGCGAATTGGATACAGCTGTTGAAAGTGTGCTAGATACAAGTACATCATCACAAAAAAGCCTTAATCGAAGTTCAAGTAATCCGGATTTGTCACAAAACAAAACAATATCATCTTCTATATCATTATTAAATGATGATGTTGATAATTCAGCATTTGTTGTTAAAGTTTATCGTTCTGATCAATCATTTAAATATTTTCCTGTACATAAAGTATGTTGTTTTTCAAAAAATAATATTTAACTATTTGATGATAACTATCTTTTGTCTTAGGATACAACAGCCAAACAACTTGTCATGTTAGCAATAACAGAATTCGGTATTGCTGATCCAAGCAGGTAGAAGAATCTCTCCTCATTTATCTTATAAATTAAAAGAAGAAAAAAAAAACCTACTATCCGTCCTCTTTCTAGTCATCTATCTTCCCGTGTAGAATTTGATTTGTTGCGGTAAGACATGAGAGATAGATGGAAGATGTGTGTACATGCTTGAACATTAGGTTAGAAGTGAAAACAAAAACAAAAACGCTTTCATAACTAGATTATAATTATTGACACGCGTGATAACTGATTTTTGTCCCTATTTGGCTGTGGGAGGTTGTTGTTATTTTTCGGATGGGGAAAGATTTGCTTAAACGAATAACTTTAGATTTAAAAATAGTTTTCATTTTTCTCTCTTTAAATTGTAATATTGTCAAGTTGAATTTCTGTACTAGCGCTAAAAGAAAGCTCGAAAAAACTAAAGAGAGATATACGGATAATAATGAATTAGTCTTGCTTATCTTGATTTCAGAGAAAGTATATTTTATGATGACATGTAAGTTTCTTTTGTACGTGTGTACGTACAAATTGTGTGTGTGTATGTGTGTGTGCATCAGTTAAACAAAATTTAATAAGTAATATATATACTATTAAACACACTACAACAATCCCTCTACTGATAACAAGCAGGAAGATTGTTGTTGTGTGTTTAATGAACTTAATATCTACTTACGTTCAGTTTAACCTACGCAGTAGAAGTCTTTTTACTGATATATATCCATATGAAAAAAATAATCTCGTTATTATTTAAAATGCTTTTTCTCTTGCACTAAACACGTTGTATGAATTTAAAATTTAAATGCAGATTTTCAGATACTAATAAGTAATAACTAATCGATTCATTAACTCCTCATTAAAATCCTAGGAGTTTTATCTTGTCTAAACGTTTATGTATGAAATTAATGCGGTTTAGGACTTGAGTCTTTTTTTCTATAATCTCTCGGAAATGGGTTTTTCTTTTAATATAAAATTACTCTCCGTTTATGTTGCTACTATAATTAACTTACAAGTCTACATTGACTTTTTGTGAAAACTTCCTAGGACTTGTCTGTTTTCCGAAGGAAAAGAAAGTTTGAAGTATAAAGTTTATATACGAGGATTTTTGTGGTTGGTAGAGAATTTTTTATCAGTAGCTGTAAATTTTCGGGATGAAATTGTGATTGACCAAATCTCACTATAAATTTGGTGTTTACAGCTACTGAATGGACTAGTAACAGACAGTGCATTATCGATCTGATGTTGTTAGATACAAGTTTTAGAAATTATTAGGATATATTATTACATATTCTATGTTATGGTCCAACAGTTCAATAGGAAGTTTTCACATTTTTGCTTCGTAGAAACAACGCTGACAAACTTTTTTTTATTAGTGAGTTAAATCTTCGACAGTCTTAAGTTGAGATCATAGTTAAAATAAAATTGAATAGATTTTTTGTTTCGGGTATTTTGCATTTTGATTCTCTATGCTAGTCAGAAAACGTTTTTCATGATTTTAAGAAAGCGCATTACACTTTCACTAATATACTCAACACAAAAAGAATATATCAAAGAAAGTGCTTGAAATATTAAAATTCTAATCTCTTGCTGTTTCTTAGTGCTTATGCATGGTATTTCAATATTTTTTTCAAATTTATCTCTGTACAAAGTTTTTTTATTTTTCTATAAAATTGCTGCTTTTTATAATTAGATGATATAATTTAAAAAATTAATTTAAAAAAAAACATGTTTTAAATCTAGAAAGATGTTATTTTACATTATAAATTTTCTTTTTAGGTGTTATTCATTATGCGAAGTATCAGCTGAAAATGGTGTTATTAAACAAAAACGTTTATCAGATCAAATAGATAATCTTCCTGAACGATTACCACTCAATGCACGGTAAAACATATTTTACTTTTACATTCTAAAAATATATTTCTATTTATTGTATTGTTTATTTTTCTTTCTCTAGATATTATTTGAAAAATAATCATTCAACAGAAACATTAGTACCCGATCAAATGGCTCACGAATTAATACGTGAAGCACAAATTAATTTTTTACAATTAGATGCATTAGAAATATGTGCACAATTAACATTAAAAGACTTTTCATTATTTAAAAATATACAACCAACTGAATATATTGATCATGTATTTAAATTAAATTCATTATATGGTTCACCAAATTTAGATAAATTTCTTAAAGTAAATTCATTTTTTATTTAAAAATTTTGATAAAAATGAAACATTTTCTCTCTAATATTTAGCTTCCTAATCAAGAAATGTATTGGACAATTACAGAGATTGTTCGAGAAACAAACATTGTCCGACGTTCTAAAGTTATTAAACACTTTATTAAAATTGCTAGTATGTATTATTTATTCACTATTTCATGATATATTATTATTATTATTGTGTCTTTTCATCTAGAATGTTGCAAAGAAATGAAAAATTTTAATTCAATGTTTGCTGTTATAAGTGGACTTGATCATAAAGCTGTTCAACGTTTACAAACAACATGGGAAAGAATACCGGATAAATATAAAAAATTCTTTGAAGAATTGAAATCACTACTCGATTTATCCAGAAATATGTCTGTTTACCGTAATTTATTGAAAAGTGAATTAATTGTACCACCAATTGTATGTAATTTTCTCGTCTGTAAATTGATATTTATCTATTGAATATTTGCTCTTGTTATTACTAGATACCTATGTTTCCTGTATGTATGAAAGATCTAACATTTATCCATTTGGGTAATCAGTCAGAAGATGATGGATTAGTAAGTTTAATGAGTTAGAAGATATCATCAACCAAGTTTAAAACAATTTTCTCTAATTTGTTTAGATTAATTTTGAAAAATTGCGAATGTTAGCAAAAGAAATTCGACATATAATTGGAATGTCGTCATCATCATATGTAAGACGGTTTAATAAATCCAATTGTTATTGACTATTATTATTGTTTCCTTATAGGATATATCTAATATGTTTGATTCTCCTACACCTCATTCACACGTTTTTGCCGGATTTGGTAATTCAACAGACGCATTTAGTACAATTAAACGAACTCATACCGGAATGCGTTTATCCGTTGTGGCAAATGCAAAACGTCTTTATGATGAAGTATGATTTTTCTTTAATTTTTGACTATTTGTTATATCAATTCTATTGATTATTCTGTATCTTCTTACTAGGCATCAATGGTGAAAAAAGTAAAAGCATATTTGAGTACCGCTGAAGTAATTCAAGATGAAAGTCGCCTAGTCGATTTAGCTAATCAATGTGAACCAGGTAAATATGACTAAATTTCATTCTATTTAACAATTAAATTAAATATTCTCTATTATCAAAAGAATCAATACATTCATTGAGTTTTGTTTTTAAATGGTTAAAACAGTTGTTTTAATATACTGTTTATAATATAAGTGAGAATATACAGAAAAAATAAGCTTCTTGCCTTATAATTTCATTAAAACTTATAATTTTTCTGTATCTACATTATAAAATTGAAGAGAAAAATTTACTATTTTGGCATTTTTCTGTTTTTTTTATACTATAGTTATTTTCTAGCATCTCATTTCTTCGATCACACAAATATTATTGGTAAAAATTATAGGTGCATGAAGTTTATAGAACAAAAAACGCATCATATTGTTTATCTAAAAAACTGCAGTAGTAGCAACAATATTTTATGATGAAGTGACAGTTGTTCGTGTATGTGTGTGTGGGAGTGTGTGTATTATTTTGTGATGCATGCATAGTCGATTCCTGCATGCTCATTTTTTTCCTTATATTCATCTCTCTTTTAGTTTGTTCATCGCCGTCAAGCGGCACAATAGCCGCTTCGAGTATACAAGAGGAAAATGAGAAATTTGTTTTTATCACTACACCAGTAGATGATAATAAACATAAAAATAATCGTCGTGCTCCATCGCCATCATCACCACTCGGTCTTGTAAATGCTATAATACAAAACGGTACAGCTTTACTGGAAGATAGCACTTCTGTTAATGAGTGAATTTCTTTAATTTTTCTGTTGTTTCCCGCATCTCATATAGACTACGTTTGTTCGATTGATACAGCACTCTGTAATAACAAGTTCATTAGTACACATGTAATATCTTAATATCTTGTGCGTCTTATGTCAAAAAGTTGATGCTTAATTAACAAGAAAATTTTGCTTTTCAAAAGACTTTTCTCATCTACATCTTTTACTATCACAGTATTTCCAAGAGAGAGTTTGTTTTTGTATATTTACAAGATTTTTTTGCCTGTTTTTTTTCTTCTGTAAAACAACCTATAATTTCTTCCTTTTTTATTCGTTTTTTTTTTCGTTTTATATTTTAGTAAGTACATTAAAACGTCGTGGTCCATCACCTTCGACAAGCAGTTTATCCAGTAATTCATCATGTGATCGACGACCTGGACAACAAACAAAATTTGGTAAATAAATATTATTTTTATCTTAATGAAGCATTAGTCAGTCTCCAGTCCATAATTCTTCTTTCCATAATAAGACAGTTAGTTCTATTCTTCTATGAATTCTTTAGAATTAGAAAAGCCATTGGTGTGTATTGATCTAATTCCAATACTATTTGGATCTTATAATAACGGTATTACTTAAGCACCATAAAGCTTTTTTTAGTCTCAGCCAGTGCTTTAATCTATAGTACACAGCATTAATGTATTTTCAACGATATTTCTTGCTTTTTGATTTGCTTCCTTAAAAGATCCAATATACAAGCTCTTATATCATTCTTTTAGAACGCTTAAGACTTCTTTATTACAATTCATTCTGTTTTGGTTTCTCATTTGTTTCTCAGATACATAATCTCATCGTTAAAGCATGATTGAAATTGAATACAGACATGATATCTACTTGTCTTATGCATTATTTTTTTTCTTCGTTTTTCTCTAGATTCATATGCAGGTAAATATTTATTAGTTAACTGTGAATGTATTTGTATAGTTTTGAATCATAATTAGCAATATTATTTTCAATAGTTGTTGTCAATCGTTTCTTAAATTGTCATGTATATCGCTGGAATCTGTGTTTTCACTTTATTTAGTTGTTTTCCATCCAGCATCTTTTCTTATTCTGTTATAGGTACACAGTCTCCTGATGCTGTAAATAAACTACTACAATTATCAGACAGTAATCGTGTAAAGCCACGTGCGCCCCAAAGACCATTTTATCATCATCCTGTATCGCCGTTACCTCTGACATCGTCAATATCAACTACGAATCCAACATCCGTTAATTTAGCTACAACGTCAACCACTCCTCTTTTATCAATGCCGACATCTTCTCCACCACTGTTAACATTAAACAAACGACAAGTATCAAATGTTAAAATTGCATTAACAAGCGAAAGCTCAAGTTTAAATCCTTCTCATCGACTCAAACACCATCATCATCGATACCATCACCATTGTGAGTACATGCATCTTAGATTATGTTGAACTAAACTAAGTCTAATACCATTATTGATAATGATTAAAAAAGAAATTGTTTCAAAATATTTGTACATTTTTAATTTCTAGATTCTAATTCGAACTCAAAATCTTCTGTTGATCAACCACTTAGTGGTTCTCCTGTATCACACGACGGTGATTCAGGACGGGGAAGTCTTAATTCGACAAACGAATGTATAGCGGATAATAATATTACAATTAACGGCCTTACTGGTGGTAGTCATAGTTCAAGTAATAGTACAACATCAGAATCAACTGTTCTCGATAGTTACAGTACAAAATATTCAACTTCGAAACATCGACCACCTTTACCAGTATCGATGTCTGTTGCAACAGGTATTAAAACATAATTTACGAAAAAACTATTAGTTCAAATTTTTCCTTATCTCATTTATTCATTCTTTAGTATCTCAGTCGCAAAAGATGCGCAATTGGATGAAACGTTCACAATCTCAAAATGAAGTTGATTCAGACACAAATCGCATAAATTCAGTTACAGGTAAAGATCAGTAATCGTAGATCTCTATTTTCACTATCAATGCAAAAAGAATATAACTAGGATCCAACTATATTATTTGAGTTAACTAAACAGTAGTTGTCACTTGTATTCGTTCTTCTCTTCATCAGACAAATACAAGTCGGCAAATTGTTTGCCTTAATTTATGTTTAAAATACTTTAGGGTAAGTTGTTCATTTAGATTTGAATTAAAGAAAAATCTAGAGCACGATTGAAGTTATGTTTTTAAGCTGCACGTGTGCTCTCTCACGGATCGTTTGAAGTCACATTGTTCAATTTGAATAGCAACTAATTTATTCATTCATTTTCTCTTTTTAGACGAACAAAATAATCCATTGGAACTGGACTACGAGGAACAAGTAACAGCTGTATAGGATGATAATCATTTAACAAACCTGACAATACTCAATTAGAAGTACAACACCGGTGCCCCGTTTGTTTTCTTTTTTAAACTAGAATCTTTCACACAAGTTCGTTTATTCATTTGTTCATTTGTTCTTGAATAGTGATGAAAATAATGAACGGAATGATTCTTTTGTACATAGTAAAATAATGTGTTTATTCCGCTTTCTATTTTATTATAAAAAATCCCATTACTCTTGATCATTACGAACAGAACACATCTAATTTCATGTTGTGCGCTAAACCAACGTCGTTCTAGATGGAATGGAATTCAATCCATTTGTTTTCTTTTTGTGCATTATTTTTTATCATTTCTTGATCTGAATTTTGTTTTTTTTTTCTTTTTTTTTTTTTTGTTACACAAAACCTCAGCAAATTAATATACGCTTTCTCTTTTGCAAATAGCTTTAACTCATTAATGTCAGATGAAAATAACTGTGTATTTATATTCGAAAATACAGAAACATTGAAATATGTTCAGTTGTGCCAATCGTTCGTATTGTTGTGATCCGCTTATATAGAGCTATGAAAGTGACTTGTTTCTAGTTTTTCTGTGATATCAGGCCAAACTTTTTGCTCTTCCTCGCCTTTATTATTATCCGCCCAGTCGTCTCATTTTCTCATTTGTCTATGCGTGTTAGGTGTAAGATATCAATTAAAAAACTTTAGATCTTTTTAGACTAGTTGTAGATCCAATGACTTATTCGTTTTTTTTGATTAAGTGAAGATTCACCGAATTTTTTTTCTTCTCATCTTAACGGACACGTATTAGTCCTCCAACCCAGCCGCTGATAAATGAACGAAGATTCTTTTCTCTTTTTTTGTACATTTTTTCTCTTTTATTGTTGATGTTATGAAAAATATACTCATTTTTTGCCGTGATGGCTTCTCTATTCTTTGCTCATTTTTTTTTCTAACTTTATGTTTTTCTTTCGTTTTCTTTTTTATAATATGGATTATTGTTGTTTTTTCTTAAATGAGCAAAATACAAATTCTCTGTTATGAAAAGAATACTATGTAGGAATACAGATGGAAAGGCTTACGAGAGATCTTAGGAATTCTCCTCTTAGACTACAGTGTTCTTCTTAATTTAATATTATGTTTGTACCAGAGCTGATCACCTGCATCATTTTTGACCAAGGGGCAAAATAAAATTTACCCGCATTGCAGTTTGCAGATTAGAAAAAAAACCTTTTGTCCTGCACAGGCAGGAAATACGGGTAAAAACTTCTGCACTGCTCTGTCCTGTAGGTGGACTGCTATAACCAGGGATCCCAGATCCAAAACACGAAAATCAGAAAACAAAAGTTCAAAATCAGAAAAACCTGAGAAAAAGTAGTAGAAAATCAGTAGATCTTAGGGCAAAAAATAGCAGAAACGAGGCAGAAAAAGAAAAGTTCCAAAAGTCAGAATTTTTCTGCCAAAATCAGAAGATCTGGGATCCCTAGCTATAATCTAAGACGGGGTATAACATTTTTTTTCCTATTGATCACTGTCAGTCTGTATTACACACTGATAGTTATAGACTCTATCACCAGTTACTATTCACTATTCTTGTTCTATCGTTTTCTTTTTCTGTTATCATCAGAGGCGGCGGAACGATTTCAGTCTAGCGTAGGCTCATATTTTCGGCCAAACTACCGTAGAGAGCGGTTTGAAAGTCGGTTCGCTTTATTTGTTTATAACGGTAAAAGCTATAGGTTTTCTTGCCAGATTTTAATTCTACAGATCTGTAATAACTATATAATGCTTTATTGTTTCAAATGAATCAAGAACTAACAGAGTAACAGAGAAATGCTGCTTAAAAGAACAATAAAAAGATAGAATACGAAGAAATAGAACTATGCATGACAGAAGAAAGTTTTCTATTCTGATTTTTTGAAATAAGTTCAGAACAAATTCTGTTCAGATCAAACATCTGATTTTTCTTTGTGTATATGAGGAATAATAGGCATCTAGCAAAATTGGAGATATCTCTTCTCGCACATGCACGACGTACATCTTCAAGATATCTATCAACGATAGATATTCTCTTTTTCTCGTTTGCCGTGTGAAGAAAGAGGAAAAGTCAGTGCAGCGTTGTTTTCATTCACCATTTTATTCTTTCAGCACTTTTTAGACTTCTTTTTTCTGTCTCGTTCTTTTACGTCATATATACCGCAATGTTTGCACACGCATATCTTGTGCTAGAAGAGATATCTCCAATTTTGCTAGATGCCTAATGACATGATTTAACCGTTGTTGAGTCATTGTACAACCCTGGATGTGTTTTTATTCGATTTAGTGCACTAAATGAACGTTCAGCAGTGGCTGTTGTTGTTGGAATTGTCAAATATAAAAGTAATAATTTACGATCAAGCCTTTTTCTATACTGGTTCAAGCCTGCCCAAGCCTTTATCTGAGTCTACCCAAGCCTACCCTCCTCCAATCTAGAGTAGGCTCGTGCCTACCCCGGCCTCGTGGCTCCGTCGTCTATGGTTACCATTATAGTCTTTTGTCATGTTCTTTGACTATACGTAGTGCACATAGTAATAGACACTTGGTAAGTACAGCAAGATCGAAATTCATTGTTTTTTATTCATTTTTTATTCACTGTTATTCCTATAGGTACTATTGCGCATGTACTTACGAACCGTATGATTCATCGTTTTTATCTGATTCACACACATCTGTGCACAATATCCCACATAATTACAGGTTTCTGCTGAGTTATTTTATTTCTCTTCGACACATCGTTTTAAACGATTCGTTTAAACGATCAAAGTACTAATAGTACTTTGATCCTCAGTCTAATTTATATTGTTTTTCTGTTCCATTCAATGTGCTTTACAAACAGTAGCGGATCCAGAATTATTTGTTGGTACGTGCGGTATACGATAAAAGTGCGAGATACGTGCAGTCATCATAGAAACAAATTATTTTAAGAGAGATCTGCTGGGAAAAAACATTTTTTTTTGTTAGAAGATACGAACGGCCTCTCGTACCGCTTGCAGGCTGGATCCGTCACTATTTACAGAGGAATACAAATTCAAACAATTGTTCAGACATTCAGAGCGATAAATAGAGGAACATGAGTAACTCCTAAATAACTGAAAAAAATTCTGCTCACTGCTGAAAGCTGTTGAAAGTGTATTTTTATTAGCGGACGACATAAAGGTTTTTTTTAACTCTGTTCCAATATCGTCGACACTTTCTTTTGTTCTATCTGTCTCAGAAAATTGTTTAACTGTGTATATGTTCCAAGCTATTATTTCAAGCGAAAAAATATTGTATTTTTTAAGTTTCATTTCTTTGTAATAAAGAAAAAGATAATTCATTAACGATACATGTTAAATAAACTTCAAAATTTACTCAACAGTCGTATGATTGTCGAATGATTTTTATGCTGCGTGAAAAACACGTGTTATCTTTCACACAGAAGAGCAAAGAAAACATAGACCCCTTATATTTATATTGACAGCTAGCAGAAAATAACTGGTAAGATGATTCTTTTTTTAAAGGCCTATTCTAGCTCTGATAATCGTCTACCAAAAAACTTAACTGTTAAACAAGGTACTCTATTTTTTATTTTTTAAGATAAAGTTACCAAATCAAATGGCAGCATTCCACATAATTGTATTTGTTTGTGCCTGCATGTTATCTAAAAGTGTATCGGCAACTCAGTTTAAAGATTGTGGTTCCGAAGTGGGTATTATACAAGCGTTCGACGTAAAAGACTGTCCAACTATACCTTGCATATTTCATAAAGGAAACACATATGCGATGAATATGACATTTCAAGCTAAAGCCGCATCGGCATCGGCCACTGTTGTAGTACATGGTATGTATGTTATATCAATTTTCCTTCTGACATCATAACTACTTCGATTCTCTTTCTAGGTGTCATAGCTGGAATTCCCGTCCCATTTCCGATTCCTGATCCAAATGCATGTCATCTAAATTGTAAATGTCCAATAAATGAAAAAGACGTTAATGTTGTACAAATGGCAATTGATGTTTTGTCTACTTATCCATCAATATCTTTATATGTCAAGATAGAAATAATATCGGATGATTTGAAACAACCCTATTCCTGTGTACTATTTCCAGCTCAAATAGAAAATGCACCAAGAACTAGATTAGTCGGTTGGGAAACTGGACGATTATTTGAAATTTTACATCAGAAACCATGAATTATTCAAAAATAATTTGGAGTTTATCGTGAAACGATCTTTATCATTCTCGATCGGATCACACTGTTTTAATCTTTTTTTAACCACTAAATTAATCTCGGTTTATTTATATTTGGTTCCGTATTTTTACTTTTATATAGGATATAAATTCGTCACTTTGTTTTATGGACTACGAATTAAAGAATTGCTAGAAGTTGAAATAAAAGCTAAATCTAATAGTAACGATTTTTTTCAAATAAATGTTATTTTTTCGGTATTCAAACCAGGGTGCCCAAATCCAATTTTTCGAAATCAGAAGCTTTTTTCGTTAAAAATCAGGAGTCGATCAGGAGATTTATTAAATATTAAATATTTATTAATATATTAAAAAATTTACAATTCACACAAAAAAAACAACCAAAACGAGCTTAAAACTTCAGGATATGGCTGAATTTGTCTGGTACATCTGCTTATACCATCGAAAAAGTCGAAAACTATATTTTTGCACAAAAATCTTTACCAGAAATCCTTTCGTAAAACCATCGAGTTTTGTAAAGCTATTTTTTTAACTTTCTTATAACTACGGTGTAGAATAGCACAAATACTCTACATTCTGAAGTTTGGGGCTCGTTCTGTTGTTTTTTTGAAAACCTTTCGTTGCAAAGTTATAGAATTTACAAGAGAAGGCCTAAATTAGTTTTTTCCTTATTTCTGTAGTTTTGCGCCAGGGGTCGGTCTCAAATTAGTTTTTTCGAATGGGGGATAAAATGGGGAACACTTATTTTAACGAAATAACGTCATGTCAATCTAAAATACCCGATGAGCTCAACTAAAGTCACAAATAAATTAAGTTACAAATAAATTAAAATCAATATTGTGAATTTTTTAACCATTTATCGTTAGAATTAGAGTAGAGTGGGGTAATTAGAACAGTATTTTTTTAAATAATAAAAGTAATTTGAATTTTATATCTGTATTTTAAATTATTTTTGCACACATCCTTAGTATGATATGTAGAGGATATTCAGCTCTATCGCCTGATATGGATTAGATCGCAAACGGATAATATTTG